ATGTTTGGCCAGCCATTGTCAGGCCATAATTTGAGCAAGAAGTGGTTTGGGAAGGAAACTTTAGGGTGTGTTTGTAAATTCTGTTGTTTTCTTTTTTTTCAAATGCACCATTGTCTTTCCCACAGGGTCCTCCAGGAATCCAGGGGCCTAAAGTAAGTCAATAAATTAAATGTCACCCAGTTTCCCAGCTGCCCAGTGCATTATTTACAGGCTCACAAAGGCCTGTCAGCTCTGGAGACTGACTTTTTGGGTTGTGTTTTTTTTTTTTTTTTTTTTTTTTGGTCACTGTTGTCACAGCACATCCCTTGGCTACGCTGTTCAGCAGTGGGTGTTTCAGAAAACAAGCAGTTTGTCCTTCCAAACACATTTATGACCTAAAACCCCTCCTTGCAGCACAGAGTCCTGAAGGGCTGGCAGCACATGTTGAGTCAGGGCTTCTAAACCAAAAGGCTTCAACCTGCATTTTCAACTCTTTTCTTACATGGCTTGGCCCAGAGGAAAACATGACCAGCAGTGTGGGTGAAAGCAGGGGGGGTGGTGGGTGTGTGGGGTGGCTGCCCTGGGCAGAGCTGCCGGCTCTCCTTGGCTGATGCCATTTCAATTTACGCAGGGTTTGGACGGTGCAAAGGGAGAAAAAGGTGACAGTGGTGAGAAGGGGGACCACGGTGACACCGGCCCTGCTGTGAGTTGTTTTCCCAAACCTCATTTCTGGCTGTTGGCAGAAACCTGCCTGACAGCAACCATCCCAATGCCTTCTCGTTTCTTTGGAACTCCAGGGTCTCCCGGGCGCTCCAGGGCTCATTGGCTTGCCTGGTACCAAGGGAGAGAAGGTAATCCTTGGGGGTGGGAGAGGAGAAGTGGCATTGGGGTGCAACCCTAAAGCAGGGGCTGGGAAATCCTGCCGTGGGGAGTCCAGGCAGGGCTCCAGTCCAGCCAGGACTACCCTGGGGGGTCACAAAGAGCAGCCTCCAACCCCAGGGGCTGCTGGCTGAGCCCGTGCCCTTACTACCAAATTACACCAACTGGATAGAAGTTTGTCAGCAACACCAAACTCAATGCAGCACATCTTAATTTTTATTTTATGTCTTAATTTTTATTTTTACAACTGCAGGGAAAGCCCGGGGAGCCAGGATTGGATGTGAGTATGGAAACCATTAATTATTTATGTACAAACATGAACAACGTGCATGTAACTTGAGACTGCTGGGCAAATATGTAGCTAAGACTGTATAGACTACTCTCCCTTTTAAACACAGTGCACATGGAATGATGTCTGTAGGAAAGGGCTGAATTCAGACCAGTTGCTGGGATACTTCCCCTGCACGGTGGAACTGCTCAGCTAAAGGTGCCATGGGGGTTTCCCTTTCCAATTGAGGATATTTGTGTGGGATTCAGTCAAATGAAACTCTCTAATACCTGTAACATTACTGGGCTGTGGTGAAGCCCATCCAGCTTTCCCAAGACATTGCTGACTTATGAAGTCAATAGGAAGAAAATGTCATTCTTCACCATGGCAGGCTGGGCTGATGAACTTACAAAACCTTTTTTTATTTCTCTCTCTTTTTCCTCACCTAAAAATTGTTGTGATAGGGTTTCCCAGGTCTCAGAGGAGAGAAAGGAGAGCGAAGTGAAAGAGGCGAGAAGGTGAGTGGGTTATGGCTGCAGAGCTGCTCAAGGGGCAGGACAGGCTGTTCTTTCTGCCAGGTTGCCCTGGCTGCTGCTCCCCTCTCCAGACTGTTTCTCAAGTAATTCCTGAAAGGATAATTCCACAGCACAAGTGCTTGCCCAGTCCCATGGTGGGGCAGGACAGGCAGTTAAACTCCTACCCACTTTTTGTAAGCTTGACCCCCCACCCACAGCACAACCACTGTGGGGAAATGGAGCAGCCTGACAGCTCCAGGTTGCAAAGAACTGCTGGTCTTGGTTTCTAGACCTTGGAAATAGATCCAAGTCAAAGGTTTCACTACCGGGATCCTTAAAGGGATGCCCAGTTGAGTCCAGGGCTGCTGCTCCCACTCGCTGTCAGATACCAGCATTTAGTCAATCAATTATCTATTACAATATCTCCACCCAGCTTTTAACTGAAGGTTTTCACCACGATTTAATTACTCAGCTGAGGTTACACTTGTGCAAAATGTCCCCACTCTGGGTGAGGAGTGGGACTGTGTAAGTGCTGTGAGACATTAAGCAAAGGTGTTCCTTCTCCTTTTTCCTGATGTTTTCCTGCTGTGCTGACAGGGTGAGCGAGGAATACCAGGGAGAAAAGGAGCCAAGGGGCAGAAGGGGGAACCAGGCCCCCCTGGACTGGACCAGCCCTGTCCTGTGGTACGTCTTCCCTTTCACTCCTCCTGAGCTCGGGTTGCTGGGGCTGAAAAGGAGCCACAGCCTTTCAGCCAGGGAAAAGGAGGGAGGATTTGGGAGCTCTCTGGTTTGCAGTAAATCAGAGCAGATGGTTATTGTTTTCTCACTTTTCTTACTGGTTTATCTGCACTGCTGGAAGTTCACTGCTCGCTCTGAGGGCTCCTCGCTGGCCAGATGGGAGCAAGCCACAGCAGTAAAAACAGAGGATCTTTGTGTAAAGACCTTCCTATTGTAGTCAGGAACAATGGACCTCAGTAGAGCCCTTCAGGAGATAGTGTGAGGCTGCAGGCCTGAATGCCTGAAATCAGGGAGTTAACTCGGTGCTGTGGATGGGAGGTGATCTGAAAACAAGGTCAGCTCTATCCCTTCCATCCCAGCAAACCCAGCGAGGGACGAGCCTGGGGAAGAATGTTGGGAGTTGATGGCATCAGAGCTCTGCTGAAGAGAAGTGATGGATGAGCTGGAGCTCCCCAGGCTGCCAAGAAGTGCCTCTGGGAGAAGAGACCTCCCTGGGTTTCTCTGCCTGTGGCTCAGATCTGTCCCTTCTCAGACACATCCTGGGCCACCACTGTGCAGTGTGTACAAAGACAGGCTTTCCAGGAAACCTCCTGGGTGTTCGAGCCTGGGGAACCTGGATCTCCCAAGTCCACTTCCAGAACCTCTCATTCACTCAATAGAGCCCAGAGGAAAAAAAAAAAAATCTAGGCTGATTTATAAGTTATTTGACCTGGCAAAATTTACCTCCTTGTCATTGCTGTTTTTCACATAATGATTAAAACCAGAGAGATCCTTTCCCTAAAGTGCTTTGAGGGTGCAGGATGAAAAGTATCAACTACTGAACTGAAACTACTTAAATGTACCTGTTTAAGACCTGAGATCAGAGGCACAAATTAGTGCCAGGTACTTGCTCCAACACGATCCAAAACCCCATTTCTTGTCTAAATGTGTGACTTTTCCTCACCCTGCCAGCACAGCTATGGCACTCAAAGCTGTTGTATAGCCCCACCATACCAGTAAAAAGCTCCTTTAGGCAATATGCTTTATTTTGCTGGGAGATTGAATGTGAACTTCGATTAATTTTTTCCTCCCTCAACATGTTGGGTGATTTACCTCTTACCTCTTTGACTGTGCTGTTACAAACGTGGATCTCTGGTTCGTGTACAAATGATCTTTCCCAGATGGCAGGCTCTGTGTGTCTGTGAATTCCCTGCCATAAAACCACTCTGCTGACTTGCTGTGTCATCAGAAATGGAGCTGTGAAGCTCTAGACCCATCCTCCTCCTCCTCCTCCTCTGCTGAAATGTGGGTGTCTGTCTGAGTTACTTTTGGTCCTTTATCATTCTCAACAAGCAGCTGTCTTTCCAAACAGGGAGATCATAGCATTGCAGGCAGCAAAAGGGAGCCAGGTTTGCCAGGCCTGGATGGGGTGAGCGTGCCCTGCCCTTTGGTACAGTATCTGCTCTGTCTTTCTTGCATGCCTGTGGTGTGTGTTCCTGCTGGGGCCAAGCCCTCCTGTCCTGAGAAGCAAATCCCTCCAGGGAGAGGAAGGACACAAGGGAGCAGGGCTGGAAGGAGATGTTTCACTTTGGCATTTGGGGAAGGATGCCAATGTCTTGTGCCTGATTCCTGCTCCCAGTCCAAGTGGCTTTAGACAAGGAGTGTAAACCACGGGAGATCACGGAGAGGACGCTGCTCCCTTCTGGCAACAGATGCTCAAAGTTAGCTATGGTTTCTCTCAGCACCTGTGGCCCAGTTTGGTTCCCCTGGTGCTGGTGCAGCCCTGGGAGTCCCATTCCCAGCTGGGATTTGAAAAGCTCTCCTCAAATGAAGGGCCAGCCCTGCAGAGCGGGGTCACTGGCACTCTGGGCATCAGAAGGGCTTTGTTGTGTCAGCACAGAGCTCAGGTTGGGGCCAGTGGTTACGCAGGAAGGTTCGTGCTCTCCTCCCCAAAAGGGCTCTGCACGAATAGTCATTGTTTTATTTTCATATTTTTCACCATAGAAAATGCTGCATGTCAGATGATTTGCAGTTGTCCTCAGAGAAACAAAAGGGCAGTAAGCTGTTTCTCTTTCAAAAAGCCAAATTACTTTCAGATGTGACAAAAAAACCCAATTCCTAACAGCAGGCCAGCTCCAGCTCTTCATATTTACTCCCCAGAGATGTTCTATTTACTAAGCATCTCCCATCTTAACTGTACAGAAAACACAGGCCCTATCCATCTGTATTGAAGGCACTGTAAACTGCAGTAGGTGATTTCTCCAAGATGAAACTCCAACATGACCAGTTAATCTGGAATCACTCAAGTGAAACGTGGTAGAAAGGTGTGGAGTTTTAGGATGGCCAAACTAAGTATTTTGAGGAAGGAATAAAAAAAAAAACAGGGCAGAAATGAACTCTGTGACCATCTGTGTTAGGGTCTGCTCTAACAGCAGGTCAGGATCTTTCTGAGTCAAACAACTGCTCTGCACCTTGTCCCCTGTCCCCTTCACCCCCAGACAACTCTGGCAAATGTACCAATTGTACTTTTCTTATTAATAGTTATGGAGCAAAACATCGACTGTGTCTGCAGAGAAACGTGTGTTTTCTAACTAATGTCATAGAAAAGCACATGAAAATAACTTGACTTCTTACACTATGAGTAGCTGGAGAGGGTAACCTTACTTCACTGCATCTGTTTTATTGGGCATAGGCTATTTTACATATAAAATCAATACAGAATACAAAAAATGTGATGACTGACATTTACAGTAAAAAATGTAAAATTGCATTTTGACCTCTGTTTGCACTGGCAGTTCCCTCTGCTGCACACACACCCTCGTGGCTTCCCACCCCCACCAGGGAATCTGAGGTGGCTCTGAGGGAAGGGTCAGTGCATGTGTGCTCTCTGTGGCTCTACATGCAGAAATTCATGGAATCGGAGATCCAAGAGCCTGAAAAACATCCCAGCATCCCAAAAGGCAGCTGAAGTCAACTGTTTCTTCTAAAGTGTCTTGAAAGAGCTGGTCATGCAAAGCCTGTTCCTCTTCTAAGGGGCTCCTTTCCTTCTCAGTGCTCTCCTCCTGGTCAGTGAGCTCTTCTCTGGCTCTCTGGGGTTTGTGTGCTGCTTGAATCTCCATTGGAACAAGAGAAATGTTTTCACTCCCTGTGCATAGTCCACAACTCATCCTATCTCAATCAGTTCAGCAGCTCAAGATTTCTTAAAGAAACTAAGTACTGCAGGATCAAATTTAACACAATCAGGATACCATCCAGAAAAAAACCAGACCTACATCACCTCCCCCCCAGCTGAAAAGCACATTTTTACAGAAAGTACATTTCCACATCATGCTTTCCATATTTATGTCTGATTGCAAAAACCACTACCTTATAAAACAGATCATGAAGTTAATGAACTGTGGTTTCAAATCTTTATATTTGTTCACTTTTTCTCTTTTGTTTGAAGGAAAACGGAAAGTGTAGATTTCTGATTTTTTTTTTACCCTGGGGTGCATTCAATTTTGTGTTGTGTGTGACACATGGATTACATTGCCTGCATATTTATTTTTGTGCATATACAGTAAATGGGTTTTGCATGGTAATTAACAGTGTTGCTAAACTACTCACTGTTGTGACAACTGAGCTTCAGGTTTTGGGGCCTGACACTTAAGCCACTGTCAAGAAAACTGAATCTGTAAATTCAATTTTGCAGGGACCAGACGGACTGCCAGTAGCAGGATGTTGGCATAAGGTACAGTAATATTAACCACTGCATGTCCCTGAACAGGCCCTGAGTAATTTTTCTGGCTGCATGGTGATTGTTTGCCCTGCTGCACGTCCCTTACGTGCCTGGCAGACACAACGTCATGCCTTGGGAGAGCAACATTCCAGCAGCTTCATGTCTTGTTCCCCACTGCTCTAGGCTGGTGCTGGGAACACCAAGAACTTGCTAAGCACAAAAAAATCTTTGTTGTTAATGCTGTCAGTAGAATGACTTTTTACAGGCTTGCTCAGGCTTTTATTGTGGCCCAGGCAGCTCAGGAAAGGCTGCACCACTCTGCAAGATGTGCTCCTGTAACTCCCTCAGCTCATAACCTCTAGATGAGAATTTTACAGCAGGTTATTGCTTTGTTGCAGAGTCACAAACATTTATGGCCAAACAAGGGCCCTTCTGCCCCTGTAATTCCAGCCCAAAGCCACCACACTGGCTGAGTGCTGCAATCAGTACCCCTGGGGGCAGGTAATTCATTCCATCTCCTGCACCCAGAACAGCCAGGGGGTTGTAAGTGCTAGTGCAGCCTGGGAGAACGAGGACAGAAGTGTCCACTGGGACACGAGGATTTAATCCAGACCTGCAGGAGGACACTCATTCTCTGCCAAGGGTACGACACTGAAGCTGAGAGGAATCACTGACCCGGTTGTACGTGGATGCAGTTGGGAGTTAACAGCAAGCATGTTGCAAACCCTCAGTTAGAATGTGAGCACACCCTTAGTACATCAAAGTTTTTAATTATGTGTCATTTGGATGTCTTGTTAATATTAAAAGAAATCTGAATGCCAATCCTTGTAATACTAACAATAAGGTTAGGAAGTGTAATGAATGGAGCATTTCTCTGATTAAAATGTTTGTCTGTGTGTTCTTTTTTCAGTGATCGCTAAGCATGAAGCACAATATGTAAATAATGTGATATATTTTGATCTTTTTAATTTTTGTATAAAAAAAGGAAAAAAAAAAAACTTTCGACAGTAATATATTGACCTTTTTTTATACCGGATTCTGACATTTATGGACTTGGAAAATATTGTAAAGCTCCCAAAGCCATAAAATACGCATGGTAACACCAGGATTTGATAAAGGTACTGCTGCCAGTAGCTGGGAATGAACAGTATTTTCACTGCTCGTGCTGCTGTGTGAACTAACAGTACTGAGCCAGCTGCTCGTGGGCCTCACTCAGTGCACGGAGGGCAAATCCCTGTCCTGGTCTGGCTCTCACCTCTGTGTCTGCTCTGCATTGCACATTAAAAGGGGGAAAGAACCTGGCTGAAAACAAAGAAGAAGAGGATGCAGCCCTGAAAATGGAAGAAGCTGCTGTCAACTGTCTGGGCAGACGGGACAAGGACTTGCAACCTGCAGAGGAGACAAAGCTGAGCTCCGTTCGTCGCTGCTGGAGTGGAAACAGCAGCTCTGGGGCTGAGCAGAACAACCCTGACTGCCTCTGGTTATTTCTACAACCATGAGAAGCTTTTTTTCCCTCAAGGGGAAGCACCTCTAGGTCCTGGTCCTGGGGTCTGTGCCTGAAGATGTGCCAGCACTTTGTTCCTGTGGAAGCCCAATTCCCCAGGAAGCCTCTGCTGGAGAATTTCAAAACACAAAAACGTGGCAATACTTTCAGTGCAGAGCTGCAGGACAGGGAGGGCTCTGCTGAAGTCCCTTCTTAAACAACAGAGCATATAATTTTGCTGTTGGGATTCCTAGAACTTGGGAGTTTGGAGTATTTAATTGTCTTGGTTTGTGGGTTTCATTTACTTATTTTTTTCTTGGTTTACATGGTTTTAACTGTAAACTCTAAACTCTGCACACTCCTCTTGTCTTCTTCCTTCTCGTCCCCCTTTTCAGTCTCTTTCTTTAAACTATCTCAGGCACATCCCATGGAGAGCAGGGCAATGAATAAAAGGATTATTATTTTGATATCTGCATATGCCACTGCGAGATCCATTAAAAACTATTCCTCAGTTCCCATTTTTTGAGATGTTGAGAAAAACAGAGGCTGTGCAGTAGAGAGCCATAAAAAATTATTTCCAAAAGGAAAAGGATGGTTTACAGCTGAGTCTGTTCAGCTTACAATGAAGATCAAGAGGCAACCAGATTCCTTTACAGGGAGGAGATATTTTCTATTAACAAGTTCTTAAACTGAACAGAGAAACATGTACAAACATCCATCCAGTGGGTAGAAGCTGAAGCTACACAAACTCAAACAAGCAAGCTGTGGATTTTTATTGGTGAGACTGGTTAATCCTAACCAGGCCAGTGATGTAATCCCCATCACTTTAATGCCTTTTTTTGATGTAACAGATCATTTCTGGAGGAAATACTTTAGCCCCAGACAGGTTGATGGGTTCTGTGTGGGCGTCTTAGATGAAATGAAGAGCCTGACCATGATATCAAACAGATGATATCAGGGCTCTCTGTGGCCTTGATCTTAGAGAACACAGACTGGAGTCATTTTTGGTGCCCTGAGTAGATCCAAAAACCTCTGTTAGATTCTTGCTTCGCTGCAACTCCTACTGCCAGAGAGAGCTTGAGAGAGGGATGCGACTGTCCAGGTGCAACTGCCCTGTACAGGCTGACCTGGTGCTACAGGAATTCCTGCTCCAGTGTTGTGAACAACAGTGGGAATGTGCTTCATGCTCCATGCAGGTTGGGTGATGGCTGTGGGTTACCTGTGACTGGGTCCTGGGTGTCCTTGAGGTCGTGTCTTTAGCTGGGAGCACGTGTTGTGTGCTGGTAAATGCTGCACTGCCCATCTGCCTTGGTGGGTGTGGGCACAGGAGACTAAAAGGGCTGTAGGCAGTGAAATTGTTACCTGTCATTGTTGGCTGCTTAGGGTCTACACCTACACATCACTTGTGGCTATACTTGGCATCTTCACCAGTTACTCACCATTTTCTTGGTCACCATATAGATTAAATCCATGTAAATTCATATCAACTAACAAATCAAGAAACAAGAATTATGTAACTCAAAACAGCAATGAAAATGCATTTTATTTACTTCCATTTCATGTTCTTAGCTATCACTTTTGGTGTAGGGGTTTTTAAAGGCATAAGGAGCAGCTAACAAGCTCCCACTGGCTTTTAGTGCTTTTGAAAAACCCCTTTATTGTCCCAAATTAAAGCTAAAAAAATCTTCTGTGAAAGGTTGAAGGCAAATCTCTCATTGATGTCGCCAGGAAGATCTGTAATTGTTCCCTTAATGTACAGTTGCTCTTCCCATCTGCCCCAGTCATCTCCAAACTAAAAGCAATTCACTACTCCAAACCACACTGTGGGCTTCTACACTCAAATTCCTGCCCGTGTCCTGATCACGGAACCTCTTTCAGTATCAATGAGAGTTCAGTCCCCAGAATGACTGCAGAAAGCACAAGAATCTGGAAGTGTCCACAAACAATCTACAATGCAGATAGAAAAGTCTTGTTTTACATACGCTGGCAAAAACTAAACAGCTTTCTATCTAGCTCCTACTTGAAGAAGTTTGATATCACTGAAGCTACAAGACAAGCTAACCTCCAAAGCTTATGAAATTATATTAAAATTTATATTTTCTCTGAGGAAATACCCCGAAGTCCTATTATCTTCAGGTAAACAAGTCAGTATTCCGTCTTCAACTTGTGGAATATCCAGTGCTTGTAGGCATCAACTGTGACCACTGCCAGGCCTGCAAAACATTGACACAGAATACCAGAATTGTGCTTTACCTATTGCTCCTCGCCGTCCCCCTCCCAGCACAGAGCTCTGCTGCCACAGCACCCGGGACATCGGTTGTTAGGGAGGAAGAGCTCGTTTGGAATCACCTAAACCTCGTAACCAGGGGGGTTATTGCCCATCTGCTCTACCAAGCCCTTCCACCACCAAAGCAGTGGAGCTCTGTGGGGAGCAGAGCAGGGACTGTGGTTCTGATCAGCACTTTGAAGTCCCTCCTGGTCCCCAGCTGAGATCGTGAATTTGGCCTTTACGTTCTGAACTGAGTGTACCTTTGTTCCCTGCCCATGGCAGGGAGATGGAACTGGATGACCTTTCAGAGTTCCTTCACACCCAAACCATTCTTTGATTATCAATCACATCACTCTGATCAACAGACTTTATTAGAGGGACTGTTGGGTTTTGTATGGATTGCACAGAGTGTAAATCTGTTTGGACTTCCATGTGCCTTCCACACACACACATATTTAGAAGAGTAGGTTGTTAAATACAGAGCAGTCATGATCTTATTGCAGCGAGTTAAAAAAAGATGTGCTTTGCTCAGCAACTTCATGCCAGATCAGTTGATTATTTTCTCCTTCCAGATGAAAATGTTTATGTGGGTCTTTTTGAATACTTTCGAGTTTGCAAATAGCTCACGAAGACGAATTTTACTTTTAGGTAGCACTGGCAGTCTTGCTGCAACTCAGTCATGCTCTCAGTCTCTCACAAAGCACAGGGCATTTTTTTCCCCAGGAAACCTCTTTTGTTTTCCCTTCTGGTTGGAAAGAATGTGAGACTGTTTTACAGCAATCCTGAAGTGCAGCAAAATGTTACCACTACATGTCAGTAGCAATAAAGATGATTGACAGGGAGGCTGCTAATGCTTACGAAATGTGGGTCAGTCTGAGACCGAACAACTGATTTTTCTTGATCACTAAAATATTTGGTATATTGACTCCATGGATTCATCAACAAGCATTCTGGGTAACACACTGAAGTTACTGATCTTGGGGGAACCTGAAACTCAGACAAATTTACTTTTGTTTTCTAGTTTACAAACCCAACTTCCTTTCCCTAATTTAAATGCCTGTGAAAGCATGGTGGTTTCCATTAGGTTAAGCTAACCACGTCTGCCTGCTGCCCGGGAGCAGAGGACAAGCAGCTTTCTCTAAGGCTTGTTCTATTTACAGTTGTGGTTGACAATTATCTTTCCAGTCGCTACCAAACATCCTCTCTCTAACGGGCTGGAGGGAAGCAAAGTTCCCAAACTGAATCCTAAGGGCACAAGAGCTCACTTGAAAGCCCTGAAAGGGTTTTTCAGCCACAAAGCTCTGCAGGCAGGGCTGCCTTGCCATGAGACAGGGCAGGTCATGTCAGTCCTGGTGCCCCAGGAGTGGTGATGCTGCACCCAACTGGGGAGAATGATTTGGGGGAGAGGGGGAACGTGGCCAGAAAACCCCACATGTGTAACTCCAGCAGTGCTGGCAGCTCGAGAGGGCCCTTGCCAGAGCATGAAGCCGATGATTTGGCCTGTGCTGATGGGGACAAGTGAGATCAATTAAGAGTTTTGCAGCTGAATCGTGGCTTGGCCAGTGAGTTCAGGAATATTTCTCTGGATTATGAAACAGGTGGCAGAGAAATCCCGATCTGACTCCAAACTGAAACTGTTTCCAAGTGTCAATGAACCAAGATTTTACTTCAAAAAAAAAAAAAATCATCAAGATGTTGCCTCATGCTTTGTTTAATTCCCATGGAGGAGTCCTGTACTCACTGCTTCTGACACTTGCTGTATATAGGATGGTGATGAATTGATTTCCAGATGGATTTTTCTCCTATTTAAAAATAAGAATGTTTCTCCTAATGGTAAGCAACTTTCTGATGTGTTTTTTTCTTTTTAGGAAACCAATAGGTGGAATATTTAGATGAGCTTTTGTCTTCTGTAATTTCATTAATTCAGCATTTTAAATTCTTAAGCAAACCAGCAAAACACGTGGGAGGTTTCAGTATCTCAAGACATCCCATGCAATGATGCCAAATAATCCCCAGAGAATGACCCAGGCTGACCTGTGGTTTTAAGATTATTATAGTAACCCACTAATAACCAGGCTAAATTTTTATACACATGGTTTTGCAGTCAACCAAACACAGCAGGCTCTTGGGCAAGAATAAGAAACCACCCATCATAATGCACGAATAATTGAAGTTAATAATAAAATGTATTTAATTTTTTAAAAATGTATTTCGAGTTATAAGATGGCAGAAATTTCCAGCTTTATAATGGTAAATAACTCCACCCCATGCCTCCTTAGCCTGTCAATAGAATGTGTATTATGAAGGTGTGTCAGAGCACAGATTTCCTGCTCAGTGAATGGTGATTCAATGCTGCCCTCCAGAGGAGATATTTTTAATAAAAAACAAATTTATGCACATTTTATGCTGTGACACTGTCCCTTAACTGGCAGCGCAGAGAGACTTCTGCATAACTCTGTGGTTTGAACTGATATTTGTAAAAACAGCAGTACACAGATAAAAATTTTGGTTTCTTTTCCAAAGCTGGTATTTCTGTCTTGGGAAATACTATCATATTCTCACTTGTTTTTTCAGTCCTATGCTTGCCCAGATAATTTAAAGCATTACACAAATCAAATCAACCTGTAGCAGGTTACATGTCATGTTTCCATTTTTAAAATTTTGAGCATGAAAGCTTGGAGTTATTTTCTTTAGAGAAAAAAGATTTTTAGTTAAGATATGCAAAAATATTAATTTAAAAAAATTATAAAAAATGTAAAAATTAAAACATCCCCAAACCACTTATCCTGGACAAACACTTGCAAGGTATGTGGCTGGATTCAGCTGAGTTTGGTGCTCTAGCAGAGCTCTGTGTGTCCTCAGCAGGTGTCCAGGGCTGGATTAATTTGGAATTCCTGAGTTTTACCTTTCACTACCTGCTGACACGCTGAGCAGCACAGCCAGCCTTCCAGCTTTTTAACCAGGGAGATGTTGAAGTGGGAGATTGAAATACCTGGATAATTTCAAGAGGCCCAAGAAAGACACTTTTGCTCACTCAGGCAGTGACTGTGGCACAAACTGACCTTGGCAACCTTACAGGACAGTGTTTATGCAACAATATTTCTTGGCCTCTTTTGCAATAGGTTTTTTTTTTAAATTTATGGGTATTTTTCTTTTTCATAAAAAGGAGGGGGCAGAGGGAAACATCTGGTCACTCTAGTTAGTCCAGTCTCAGTGTCATTTGCTGGAGTCACCTGCCTTCTAATTGTGTCCCTGGCACTGCACTGAACCTGGCCAGAATTTGTTTGAAATACTTCTCTTCTTCAGGGAATCTACTGCAGACTGAGGCAAAGCAGGCAGTAAAAAAATCCATTTCCTAAGCCTGATTTTCCCTGATGATCATTTAGATTTGTAAGCTAAAAACTGCAGTGTTTTCACATCCCCAGGTGAGTTACTGCAACTTTTCCACGTGCTTATAAGGGGTGTGTAAATGTTGTGTAACCTGCAGCTAAAGCAAGTGCTGAAAATCTGAGTTAAAAATCAATGGAGGAAGGACTTTAATAGATTATATTATTGTATACTACTGGGGAGAGCTTGGGGGAAACCACAGGAAAGCTGGGAAACTTGAGTTTTCCATGCATAATAAGTTGAATTATTGACAGGAGAGTGGAATAACAATGGAACAAGAATTATATTAGTAACATTTGTGGTTTTCCTATGTCTTAGGACAACAATTAATTCCTGTTTGTTAAGTTGCCTCATAGTTGCATATTTTTGTGGAACAGTGTGTCAGTGTGTGGTTTCTTATATAATGTAGATAATGAACAGAAACTGAAAATGGAGATGGCCCAAGCATCTGTAAATGACACTAATACTCCTTGCTGCTTTTATATGTACTATTAAATACTGCATTTGAACAGTGCATTTTATATGAATTTATGAAGTGCAGGCAAGTCTGTATCAAACTTGCATTTCTGCAATTATATTAAAAATTAGGACCTGGTTTTGCAAAGCAAAAGCACCCACATTACCCATTGAATTTGTGAATTTAGCAGAAGAGGCAGTGAACTGCCATCACTCAGAGTGGGAGTTGGAGTCCTGTTGTGTTTGCTGGTTTGTTTCCTAGAGTGCAGTTTTACAGACAATTCCATAACATAGCTGCTTTTTGTGTTACTATTTGGGGTTCCTAAAAAAATCAAAAATCTTCAGTATGAGGGAAGTTCAGCACAAAACACCACAGTCAAAACCTGCTCTATGTCCATTCTATATCCATTTCTTTGGACATAGAAATATTACAAAACTGGCATGTACACCAACATTTGAGAAACTGTACCTGCTGGTACTTAAAACCTTACTTATTTGTAGAAAAATACATGCAGTGTGTGCCTTCTCTGTCCATATTTGTTTGGAAATTATGCCAGTAGAGCTTAATCCTCCACCCTGTTATGCAAGTGTCCCTCATTTGTGGAGTGGTTGCATCACTCCAGGGAGGCTGTTCAGAGGAGAAAGGGCTGTTTGTGTGTGTGCAGCTTGGACACTTTGCCAAAATTAGTTTTGTTTTGAATGTATTTACATGGTATTCTATACAAAGCTGACTAAATCTATATATAGATATTAAAAATGTAGAAAATGTATTTAACATCTCTACTTGCAAACTTTTTGTGATTTTTTTTTAATCATGTATGTGCCATGAAAAGTATTCTATTTACTCATTTCTTTGGGGAACAACTACTTTAAAAATGAAGGCATTAATAACAGTATTTCTTATCCATTGTTTTAACATGTTAAAATGGTATTAATTAGTACTGCATCATGTATTTCTAGTTTTAAAGCTGTAATGGACAATACATTACCTTGAGACCTCAAAAAAATTTTTTTTCTTGTGCTTTTTTTTAATAAAAGCAAAGACTAGATTTTAAAAAATGGTCTCTCTGTACAGATTACTTTTGCAGTTGTGTGAATATGTATAATGAACTCTGCATTTGTAACCAAGAGTAAACTTTCCAAATTGTAAATGTTCAGGTTGTTCTTATAAATAGCCAGTAAATATCTTAACCAGACAAGAGTTCAAATAAAGATTAACAGATAATTAACTTTTTCTCCACTGTCTTTTGTTACTTAAAACCTTTTTATGAAACAACTGGGTTTCACTTCCTAAATTCAATCTAACTTTTAGGTGCATAGCAATTTGGTTTTGCATTCTCCACATTACACGAAGTTTAAATTGCTCCTGTGTTTATCGAGTAGTTGCAACTAGAGATAATTCTGGTGGCTGTAGCTGGTCAGCAAAGTTTGCCAAGAATAATTTTTAAAGGGTCTGCTCTGTTTAGAAAAACACCTGAACAGATGTTGTCAGCAAAAGAATGTGAATGAGTACTTGGAAGGAAAAAAAAATTGTGGCATTTTTTAGGAGGAATCTGGCTAAGTTAATGAATTGGGTTATGGATACAACACCTACACAGTAGAACTTAACCTATCCCAGAACCTCCCTTCTGGCTATCGTCTCCTTATTTTTCTTTCGGTAATTCTAGTCAAACAGGAACAGAGGAATAACCATTCTAATCTGACGATGAATCCTAACTATTGCCAGTCCTAGGACTGGCTTTTAAGGAGTCGTCAGTCAGGTCTACTTTTATCTCCCACCGACCAAACACAGAGGTACAACATATATATGTTGGGTTTACTTTTGCTTAAGTAGTCAAGCACGTGTTGAACAATTACTTCACTTCTAACACCCAGGCTAACCCCCCAAATGATTCTCAACTGTGGAAGCCGCTTCCTTGGGGTGTATTTCAGAAGGGGGGTGCCCTGGCTGTACTAATGGTGCTGTAACCCACAGGGACCGGGGTGCGGTGTGAGGGGTCCCGGAGGGCGCAGCCTCTGCCGGTGAGGGGAGCGCCATCCCCGGGCCGGGCGAGTTCCCGGTGAGTTCCCGACCCCTGGGCTGCCCCAGCCGTGCCGGGGGTGTCGCCGGGGCTGTGCTCGGCGATAAGGGCGGGCAGAGCCCGTGTGCCGGTCCCGCCCTCCCCTCACGGCCCGGCCCCCGCGGGAGGCGGCCGCTCCCCCGCCTGCCCTGCCCTGCCCTACCCCCGCTCCGCCCGGCTCGGCCCGGCCCGTTCCCCGGCCATGCGGGCGGCCGAGCCGCGCTGCCGGCAGCAGACCGTGTCCCAGCGGCGGCGGCTGATCGGGTGAGTGCTGCGGGCGGGGCGGGCGCTCCGCCTGACGTGGCTGCGGGAGCGGGGCCGAGCCCAGCGCCATCGCGGGGGCCGCCCGAGCGCGGCACGGCCGGGCCCAGCACCGCCGAACCGCGGTAATTAACGGCAATTAGCGTTTCCTAACGAGGGGCATTACCAAACTCAAGCGTAAAACCCGTATGATACCGAGCGTGCCGGTGTAGACACTAAACTGCTTAGAAAGCAGTTCCTGCGAGCCCGGCTGGGGCTGCCAGGTCGTGCTGGGCCAGCCTAGAACAGCTCCCCTGCTGTTAACAGCCCTTCTGTGAGAAAGTCCACCAAAAACGCGGTGTTAACGACAATTAACAACATATCTCTGCCCACTTTGGGAGGATGGACTACAAGACTCACTTCCAAACTTCCCATTACTGGTGGTGTTTCAACCAACCCAAAAAAGTCTTTGTTATGTAGACGACCCACCAGGAAAGGCATCAGAACTACATTTAACTTTAGGAATACTTTCAGATCATATGTATTAAAAACCTGTAAGGCTAGTTTTATGTGTTTTATAAATCCAGAAATTGGGCTGAAAGTAAATGCTGGAATTAGAAATGTGCCAGTTGCACACACCTGAAAAATACCACTCCGGGTATTTTAATCATTTTTCCAGCTGCTTTGCCCTGCCACTGGCAACAAAGACCAGGCCTCTGGAATGAGTTTCTTAGCACCTTTTGAACAGTCAGGGTAACAAAAAAACCCCAACTGTTTTACCATTCTATGCCAGCTAACACAGAAAGTATTGGGATTCCTTAGGGGAGGGATAGTGAAGCTGTTTCTCACTTTATCATTGTCCATTTGACAATAGCTTTGTAATCACTGTCAAATCATTTTTGTATAAGCAATCTTTTAGTAAATGCAATAATGGAAGTTTGGTGCTGCCATTCAGAGTCAAATCTCTGCAGCTCCTACTTAAACAGACGTTTCAATTTTACTTGTTTGGCAGTTGGTTTAAAAAGTGAAACAAAACAAATGCACCTAGGTAGACTCAGCCTTAGAAAATCACAGTGTGTTTTAAATAAGGGAAGTGAAGCTTTATACAGCTGTAACATTCACCTGCACTAAACTATCTATCTGGAAAATCAGGACCTTGGCAATAATAAAAAGAACATCATAAAAACAACTGCAAGATAAGAGACACCAAAGAGGGTTTCTTAACACAAAGGGCAGAGTAAAGTAAGGAAGGAGTCACAGTAAAGACAGGATGAAACTATAGAGGTGAGTTCTACTGTGTGCTGTGGCTGGATTCCTAGAGAAGGATTTTCAGTTCTGGGGGGTTTTGCCTGTAAATCTAATAAAATCTGCATTGCTTTAGAGCCCAAGGCCTTTGTTTTAGGAGCCAGAAGCAGGATGACAGCACGTGCCCGCAAACAGGGGAAAATGTCTTTATTAACTGACTGAACTGAAAATATTACCAGCAGGATAAACTATTTTGCTTTCTGATGCTTGTTATAGCTCTTCCTGCAAGCTGTTTTTCCCCAGTGATCCACTGAAGATTGTGAAGGCAAAAGGCCAATATATGTATGATGAGGATGGAAGGCAATACCTTGACTGCATAAACAACGTTGCTCACGGTAAGCTACAGTCAAATGTTATGTGATGCCATGTTCTTCTAAGCAGAACAAGGAACAATCAGTACTTTTGCCACTGTTCCATTATGCTGGGGGAGGGAATACTTAATTGGAAAAGTAGAAGGGACCTTTCTTGTGCCTGTAGTTCCAGGGAATTGTGGTTGGTTTGAATTTCTGTGTGAATGTGCTTTCCAGAATAGTTCCCTGTTCGGTTTTCCTAGAAACTTATCTTAAACCTTCAGATTTTTTTTCCATGGAAACTCAAGTAAAGCACCTCCCTGTAAAACTAACAAATGACATCTTGTTGTGTTTGTAAAAGTTACTGATAAGTGTACAGTCACAGGACCACTGCTCAGTGGGGTGCCTTAATTGTGTATTATTAAGTCACTGCTGCTTTCTCACAAGATTTGAAATCTCTCAAACCTAAGCCCTACCAGGACTAGTACTTCTTTGATGGTAAAACATGTTCCCAAACTCCTAAATTACGTCAGTGTCTACATCCAAGTATTAAATCATGACACTATTTGTTTCAACACATCAATTGTCAGTACTAACTACGAACCTTCAAGTACAGTAGCAGGCAACTTCAAACCTTCTGAGGGGCAACACCATGTTTTTACAAGGTGTACCATCATTGTTTTCTGCTGACAATATCATTAAGGCCCCACTGAGGAAATCAGAGTCATCATAAAAGTATTAAACTGGTACATGAATGAACAATGTGGGCAGTATTGAAGACTTCTCAAACCACTCTCCACGTTCTCTTGCAGTCGGGCATTGTCACCCTGATATAATTAAAGCAGCCCATGAACAGAATCAGCTGTTAAATACAAATTCTCGTTATCTTCATGACAACCTGGTGGATTATGCAGAGAGACTTTCAAAAACGCTACCTGAGAAGTTATGCATCTTCTATTTTTTGAATTCTGGGTAAGTTGGGTACTTCAGAATTGATACTGGGGTTTTACTGGGTATATACAAACAAGTACAACACTTGCTTATCAACAGCCAATTGCATGGTGTGGTGGATGACTCGATATTGACATTGTTTGGGGTGTTGGTTTTTAGAGAAAGTGGTTATTTTCCGAAGTTCAGTGACTGAGCTTCACACTTAGCAAGCTCTCTACCTGGGAACTAAACTAATGCTTTATTTAAGAAGGGGTTTATTCCATTTATAAGGCCTTGGACTACAAAACAGCAATGTAAATATTTACTGTATAGTTTCTGGTCTGACTTGTCTTCTGACTTGGAAATTATATCCAAAATTAAATGTACCGATGCATTATTTCTGCTGGAGGGGGTGTGTGTGTGTCATATTCTCAAGCAAGCTACAGCTGGGAGAAAAAAAAACCCAAACTGTTTCCAAAGTAGTTTCTGCACTGAGCTTCTTAAGGTGGATTCTGTTCTGGTGCACACTCCTGCCTCATTGGTGCCAATTTCTAAGGGATCTGTGCAAAACATGCATCGAGTTCTGTCTGTTCTTTGCAGACACAAACAGCACTGCAGGGGAGGCTCAGTTTTCCAAACTCAGGACACATCCTCAGTGAAACATTTCCTGAATTTTCCAATTGCAGATCTGAAGCCAACGATCTTGCCCTGAGGTTGGCACGACAGTACACAAGACACGAGGACGTCATCGTGTTAGATCAGTAAGTACACCCGCAATTTCATCTACTTTGGGGTACAAGGCTCAGTTTCAGCCTCAAGGTCAGAGCATTTCTGAAACCCTCTGGTAGTAGAAAGATTACCCTGGAAGCTGAGGGGAGTCATTTTTCCCTCTGTTCAGTGTTTGTGAGAGCAGCCCAGAGAGCTGTGGTTGGGGAGCCACAGGAGTAAGAGGTGCTGGATTTGTTCAGCTGCAAGAGAGAGCCAGGGAGAACTTACTGCAACTACGGCTGTGCCAAGGGAAGGGGCAAAAAAGATGGAGCCAGGCATGGAGATGTGTGGTGACAGAAAAAAAGATTTAAGACAGAAGTTGAAACCTGAGGAATTTTGATGAGACGTAGGGAAAACACTTTTACCATGAAGATGGTCAAATATTAGAATAGGATGCCCACAGACACTGGCAGCTCCATCGTTGGAGGATATTCAGAAATAGGCCCTTCCAGTTGTTCTGCAATCTTGTAATACTGCTCCTGACTTACCCTGCAGGGATTTGTCACCAGTGCAGGCAAACCAGTGACCAGTCCTGTCCTTCTGCATCCCTTCTATTCAGAAACACCAACAAAAATCCACATAAGTACTAAGCTTGACAGCAACTGCAGAGCTCAGCTTAAGTGACTGTATTCCCTACCAAGTGACAGAACCTAGATACTCTTCACTGTCTGTAATGCTAATCCTGAAGAACTCTTGATACTAAGGAAATTACTGTTTAGTTCTGCCAATTGTTTTTTAAGTGCTTACCATGGACATCTGACATCTTTGATTGACATAAGCCCATATAAATTCAGAAATCTAGAAGGACAAAAGGAATGGGTCCACGTGGTATGTACTCCAGCCTATATCTATCAATTACTTCTCAATTTAATAAAGTTATATTTATGATATATTGAATATAGGGTATTGTTCCTTTGCATAGGCTCCTGTTCCAGACACATTCAGAGGACTTTATAGAGAAGACCATGAAGATTCAGTGACAGCCTATGCTGATGAAGTGAAAAATATTATTGAGCATGCACATACGAGAGGCAGAAAGGTAAAAAGTTACTTTCTTAACCATTTGTCTTGCCTTAGAAATGAATGTGCCTGACTTGTCAATGCCGTTCAGGTTACTGAGCTAAGGGGTATGGACTTGTCAAAAAGAACAGATAGCATCATAATGCAAAAACCAGCTCAGGACAAAGAGCTTGCTCCACAAGTTTCTCCCCTGTGTTCAAACATCACATGCTACCTGTGTTTCAGATTGCTGCATTTTTTGCTGAATCTCTACCAAGCGTGGGAGGTCAAATCATTCCACCAGCGGGTTATTTTCAAAAGGTTGCCCAGTAAGTGTCATTCGTTACCTTAGCTTCTTAAACTTCACATATTTGCTAAATGTAGGTAAGAGACAAGCAGGAAACTACCTAAGCCTGCATGTTAGAATGTAAACTTTGTATGGCAAAGACCTGCTTTTAAACACATAATCTAGAACACAGGGCTGTACAGGTTTGTTTCCTGAAAGTTAGCCAACTAATGCTTTCTGCATGTTCTTAATCAGTAAATACTATGTTCTCTTTACTCTTAAGAGACAATAAAATCTCTTCTGTTCCAGGCACGTGCACAAGGCAGGAGGTGTATTTATTGCTGATGAAATTCAGGTTGGCTTTGGCAGAGTTGGGAAGCACTTTTGGGCATTCCAGCTTCAGGGAGAAGACTTTACACCTGACATTGTCACTATGGGGAAACCAATAGGAAACGGGCACCCTCTTGCCTGTGTAGCAACAACAGAGGAAATTGCAGAAGCATTTGCAGCTACAGGAGTGGAGTATTTTAATACAGTAAGTAAAGAGTTGCCCAAATTCTCCTTTAAAAATTAATCATGCAGTGTTGTTATTAATATTTAGTAATATTTTCTTAATATTTACCACAGTAACTAAACACTAACTGTGTTACTGTATGATTTCCATCTCTATCTTTCTGGTATATGACTCTATTCACTGACTCCATCTGATCAAAGTGGTATTGAGCTCTCTCTGTCACTGAGGCTACACTGCCAGTGACACCATTGCATCTCTCTTCCCTTTCCCTGGCTGTGTGTGTTCCTTTCCTGAGCTCAGTTTGGTGGAAACCCTGTTTCATGTGCCATTGGATTGGCTGTGCTGGATGTGATTGAGAAGGAACACCTTCAGGCTCACGCCACAGAGGTTGGCAACTTCTTGATGAAGCTACTCAAGGAGCAGCAAGTCAAGCATCCCATCATTGGTGATGTCAGGTATCAGTGCCTTAATTTACATTTTTACCTACTTTTTTTATTTGGTGCAGTCAAACAACTCAGTCCAACAGATGGTTTGAGAAATTATTTAAATTTGTGTTTTCAGCAAAAATAAACAGCCTGCTGTACATTAGATTAAAATAAACTTGAGCTTATCAAAAGTCCCTTATACTTTGCCACTGGGTCAGTACTGGTTTATCAATTTATCAGCTGCTACCTGAGTTCACTTTCCTGTTTGAACTTTTACGTCAAGTGCACAAAGTACAGAAGTGATGAGCTAGATAGAAAACATGCTTAACATCCTGTCTTGTGCTGCCCTTCTGAGCAGACAGAAGTCTCTATTGTATTACCATACTTCCTCAAAACAGCAAAACCTTTTCTATCAGAAGCCAAACATCTAGGTAATTCTCATGCAGTAAAGGCCTGGTCTTACAAAAACCTGGTTTTTAGTTCACTTGCAGATTACACAGAGTGACTGATTTTATTTCTTTTCAAGAGGTTGTGGCTTATTCATTGGGGTGGACTTAATCAAGGACCAAGCAGAAAGGACCCCAGCCCCAGCAGAAGCAGAGTATCTGATAACAAGGTACATGGGACAATCATGGAGTTCCCCAGTGTGGGAGGCAAGCACACAACTCCAGACTACCCTTGCCCCTCAGCAGCTGTTAAAATACAGCAATCTGGCCAAAAAAGAAACCAGTGAGTGGAGAAAGGCACTGCATGACAGACCCCATGCTGGTTCTTGCAAGTTCTTCTGAACTACAGGTGAAGGTAAAACATGAATCTTTGTTATTGCTCTTTCCAGACTTAAGGAGGAATATATTCTACTGAGTACAGATGGACCAGGAAGAAATGTGCTGAAATTCAAGCCCCCAATGTGCTTCAATATGGAGGATGCAAAATTTGTTGTGGAAACAATGGACAAGATACTAACAGGTAGAACTGATCAACACCCTCAAAAATAGAGGGTGGTCACTGAACTGCCTTTAAGGCGCTGCTGAGCTACTCAACCTGCTTTTCAAAGGTGCTAAAATAGAGTCAAGATGGCAGATGCTGAGCACACAACCTTCCCTTCTAAATTACTCTGGTTTGAAGTTTTCTAACAAAACTATTTCCTCCACAGATGCAGCACATGCCTTATTTTAAAACAGCTTTGCTCTGGCTGAGGTTTAAGTGTTTACCTATCTGAACAAGGGCAACTGGTAAAAACTGTCCAAATATTCCCAAAAGCCATAACTTGTGTGCATTTGCCATTTAGCTTTTTATACAATTTCTATACAATTAGCACTAACAAAGTTAGTGCAAAAACCTTTCTCAAGATTTTGCTAAGTTGTTGCTTATTCTCTCTCCAGATATGGAAAAAGGATATCTGAACCAACAGAAAACATCTACCTGTTCTACCTGAGCAGGTATTTATCTCTAGTCACCCAGTGATAATTTAAAAGCAAGGTTCCTATACATAACTCCACAAGCATTGTCAGAATAAAGCCTCCTCAGAGGTGCTTTTACTTGCAGTTAGTTTGCAGGAATTTCAGGCAATCTCAGGCATGGCCCAGACTTGTGCACATCTGGCATGCACAGCTCCTTTCTGTCAGAGGCTGACACTCCCAGTAAGTGTGTGTGCTCATCTGCTTCTGAGCCAGGTCCAACATGTCCCAGACATGACTGCCCCCACAGCAGGCTGGGCTGGGCAGCTTTCAGAGTGACTGGGCTTAACCCTTGGCATGCAGATGACATGCACATCAACACCAACACAGAGCTTCTGTGCTCAGTGCCATTATCTCCAGACAGAAGCTGGTCCAGCTGCACAACTACCTCTCAGCAGATCTCCCCTTAACCTGCCCATCAGGGCATCTGCATCCCACAATTTGGGACCTTCCACTTATGCTAACAGCTTTGTGAGGAGCTGTAAGTGGTGCTTTTGTGTTTTATTTAACATCTGACTAGGAAATGGTGTTCCCTTCTGTTCCCTTGAGCATTTTTTCCCTGCTTGGTGGGATCATTTCAGGTTCATGGCTGGTATCTCATGCTTCAGCATCAATTTACCCCTAGTCAGAGGTTTGTGGGCATCAGAGTAACACTGAGTCCTGTTGAGTCTTTAAAGCCTCCTAAGTCTTCATCTGTTGAGGTGCCTCCATAGGTTGCTGAGAGGACAGCTATCTGCAACTGCAGTTTGCCACACACTCACCAGCACAGAGTTACACTTTGACAACAACACCCTTTGGTACCTTTAGTACTTGTTCAACCTACTCTGACAAAGACAACCACATGTTTAGTAAAACTCTAGCCAGCAGACAGGAACGTAGCTGATGTGATCACTGTGATCATGCAGTCAGTGGTGGTCTCAACCACCATGAAATTCAAAGTGCTACAGCCCTGAGCTAAGGACAGATGTGCTTTTAGTGCAGTGTAATATTAGTATAGCAGGCACAAGAAAAATGTGTTAATATTTTATTTAACAAGTTAATGGAAAGACATACAGCTGTTTATACTACTTATTCTTAGGAACAGAAAGATTACTTAACAGTGCCAGTGTAACTTAGAGGCCTAATGACTTAATGTGCTTGTCTGTAATCTAAACTAAGCAAGAAAAATGCTTTTATTCTCTACAGGAAACCAAGAATGCAAAAAGCCTCTTACTAAGTACAGTACTAGTAAGACACTTACATATAATGTAAGCGAAAATGAGGCAATGAAGTAGATTTCTTTTAATGATACTTTTACAAAAAAACATAACATTATTTTCTTTCCATAGGTTTCAAACAATGTTCAAGATCTACTACTAAGAAACATTATTCTACTATAATCACATTTAATCTTCAATCCTAGCATGTCTTAGACCAGATAAGTCACCTTTGATTTTGTTATTTTCAGTTATCTTGTTTTTAGTAAAATCTTTCGGAGAAATAAATTTTACAAGAGCTTGTCTCAATTCTGGCAGTGTGGAATTGCCTTTTATTTAAAGCAGTTGTATCTAAAACTGATTATAAAGGAGTATCTTTCTAGTGGCTACCGTAAACTACACTTCCTAAATTCATGCTCTTCCAGGTTATGACTTTTTCAAATTAAGATGACCCAGTGGGTTCTCTCATGTGTTTCCACCTCCAGCTGCCTATGCAAACACCAGTCTAGCCACCAGTACACCCAGTCCTTGCCAGGCTCTTCTGACCAGTTTCAAGCCACCAGTGTCATAACAGGGGCCCTGGCAGCACTATATTCAAACAGTCTCAGCAACCAGATTAAGTCAAAAAAACTTCAGTCCCAAATTTCCTAACATCAAATGCATGAGGAACAGACAGCTGAGGGCCCTTGTTCCCAAACCAGTTCGTACAAAGTCTGTCCTCCAGAAGCATCCAAGCAGGATTAGTAAATTAAGATTAGATTATAGCCATAAACAACAACCTTGTGTACATGCCTTTGCTTTCACCAGGCAAGTACGTGTTCTTTGTATCATAAACTTGTCACACAAAGAAGAAAGGGAAAAGCCAGCTCTGCATTTAAGTACCAGTATCCTCAGATTCTGCCTAAGGCCTCATCACCTGTCAAGGGAGCATTACCTGGGAACCTACTTCCAAAATCCACCACAGGAACAGCCAGCTGACAAACTCTTGCTAGGACACCGAGGGGCTGCAGCAGGATGGTCCTGCTACTGTGTGAACCTCCCCCTGGAGGGCCAGGTGTTTGCTAGAAAAATATTCTGCTACCCCTTATTTCATAGAAAAACCAGTAAAAGTATGCAATAAAGCACTGAAATTTTACATCTTGAGACAGTAATACTTTTAAATACTGTACTCATTTGTTTCAGTGGTCTGCAACTTTTTTTTTTTGCAAGTAACTTGGGATTGAACTTACAGGTCTTGCTGTAAAGTTCTCAACTATCAGATTTAAAATCTGATTCATTTTTTTTTAATGCTCAAGATTTCTACTTAACCCAGCAAGAATATTACAGACAGAATCTAACTTTACAAGCAGGTTTTTCTTTTCAAGGACAGCCAGCAGGGAGCAGCAGATTATAGTCCCTGCAGAAGAAGCTGCATCTCTTGCTAAAAAACCTGATAAGGTCACTAGTAACATCTGTTTATTTCTTGTCTTAGTTACTTGGGTTGTTTCCACTTCTGGGCATCAAAGAGAATTTATTACAAGGAAGAAAAATTGCCATGTTTTAGCTTTAAAAGGGAAAAAAAATCAAATTAATCACTGCAACAAATATTAGAAGTTTACTTTGTGCAGCAGAGCTTGCTACTTTATTTATAAATCTGAGCCTGGGACTATTCTGCAACAAGACAGGCAAATCACAAGGCAGTTATTGCCTTGAAATAGTGAACCAGTCAAAAAAAGGAAAGCTTATTTCTAGCTGGTCACTCATCTCTACAGAAAGAGATAGGTTTTTTTCAACCCACAGCTGTAATGAAGTTCTTTTCACCTCTTTTGATACACAAAAAGGCTGCAAAAATTCACTTTTGCATTGGTAATTTAATGTCTGTCCAACCTGCCTTTCAAGGCAGGTATATACATACTATTAGCAACTTGGAGACAAGTCTCAGACTGGAGACAGTGACACACGATGGGAGTGCAGCCCCAGCTTCTTCCACACCTCTTGGCTTCCTCCTGCAATGCTGTCCAGACTCCCAAGCCCTACCTACAACCTCCACCTCTGGCTCCTCCAAGCAGAGCCCAACGCAGACACCACCACAATTCCACTGAGCCCCTAGGGCAGAGCCACCTGCTCTCCAGCACAGCCCCACCGGCTGGGGCTCCTCACACCTCAGCTCTCCTCCACAACCTCCAGGCAGAAGTGACTGCAAGTTTTAGCTGCCACTTAACTGCACGTGAGCACAACTACCAACACAGCCTTCTAGTTTTAAGGTTAAAAACATTGAAGCACAAACTCTTCACCTATCCAGGTACTGCCATGAGCTAAGTTCTGGGACCAGGAGCTGGCGTTTTACTAACACATAAGCTGAAGAATGGCACAAGACACTAGATTACGCCTTTTTTATTTCAAAAAGCTAGGATAGCTTCAATATCCATGTCATGGTGAATCAGAACACATGTAAAATACCTTACAATACATTAGATTCCAAAAAGGTACCAAAAAGTACAGTAAAATTAACACTTCCATTACAGGAAATGTATGACACAAAAACAATACAAAATAAAAAGGTGGAAAGTGACACTGGTTCCCTAAGATGCATCTCATTCTGTACAACTGGAGTAATGCAGAGTCCACAGTTAACTCCAAGAGGCAGTCCCTAGATGCAGAGCTGCAGCTTTAAGCAGACCCTCAAAATCAGTTTCAGTTTAACCTATTAATAAAATCATTAATTAATATCTTCAGCAAAGCTGAAATTTACACACCACACTGTCTAGACAACTAGTTATCTGTAAGTAATAAACATGTAAAACATTTCCAGGGAGCTCTTCCAAGTAAGATGCACATTTAACAGGCCATAGAAATTTATTGTAAAGTTAAATTTGGTACAGAACTGAAGTATCCATCTACAGCATTGTATACAAAACCTATGCAGTCATTTTCCAAAAGAGACCATGCCACTGCATACCTGAATAAGTTTGATCAATATGGCTTGTAGTTATTCTGATGACCACCACGTCTTGGTGTCTTCCCATAATTTGCACTGCCTTGACCTATGAACAAGAGAACAAATGCATTAAACTGCTAATTAGTTACGTTTGCTTATACCCAATACAGTTCTCTTTACTTACTGTAATCATAGCCTGGTCCATATCCATAATACCCATATCCTGAATAATCATAGCCTCCATAGCCACCATAACCTTGCTGATAGCCGTATCCTTGATTCCCATAACCCTGGTTCCAGTAATTGCCATAACCTTGATTCCAATTTTGACTTTGAGCTATAGAAGGGAAAACCATCCACAAAATCCCATTTTAGTACACACAACTTATTTAGAATGTGTCCATACTAAAGTAGTGTGTGTGGCACTTACCGCCGCCTCTTCCACCTCTGCCTCTTCCTCCATAGCTACCTCTTCCTCCACCGCTGCTGAACTGTTGCTGCTGGTACACTTCTTTTGGCTGTGCTACCTTAATCTCGCACTGAAAATAAAAAAGGGAGGGTATGTAAGGTGTCCTGAGAGCAGAAGCACCCACCCTGATCTCCTGGAAAATCCAGAGGTTCCTCTGGAGGCAAAGGAGGTGGACATGCTGTGCTCCTGCCCGGTGAGCAGCACTAACACAGAAGTGTCTGCTTTACTGTGCCACTGGGCAAAGGGGAGTCACTGTCAGGGAATTTTATCCTGCCTATTCCTACCATCAGTTTTCCCATGGAACAGGTGCTGATGCCACCACTCCTGTAGGAGTCACAAGGCTGCCCTGTCACCTGGCACAATCTCCAATGCTCTCAGAGTTCACCAGAGCTGCACTGAATGAACAAGGCTCAGAGTCTTCCTGGCAGCCTTTGCCCACCCTATCCCTGTGCATGTGGTTCGACTGTACAGTACCCCTACCACCACTGAAATCATCACTTATCAAATACTAACAGCTAAAAACAACCAGAATTGACATTTCCAAGACCGGTTCCCAAGCTGCAGCTCAAGCTGTCAGTCAGCTGCCTGGTTCCTGCATCTGTGCACAGTCTAAGATGAAAGCTGCTGCAAAAGGAACAACAGCACCTGAGCAAGTCTGGCCTGGAGTTCTTCATGACAGACCTGCTTTTTATTATCACTGTGACACTACAGGCCATAATTAGGAGATACAGACATTTCTCAGCTTCCTTGGCACGAGACATTCATCTCTCCTAAAACAAACTGACTTGATCAGTGCATTACATTTGCCAAAGTTTATTTTGTGCTGTATCAAAACCAGTCTAAGTGCAATCTAAGTCACTGTGCCAGACAGCATGACCCAAAGTAACAGGGCTTTGAAATTACGTGTATGGACTGCACTGGCCTCAGAGCAAGGCAAGCCACCTCCAGCCAGTCCACATCATTTGCCTCCAGTCCCCTCCTCATCAGCCTCTGTTAGCTGTTCCCTCAGATGAGCAGGGAGCTGTTCAGAGCATCTCACACCACTCTTCCAGTAATTCCCACAACCTGCTGACCAGGTTCAAGTTGCCATAAAATTTACATTCACTCTCTGGATCCTTGTAGTGGGTTGACATGATAAGGGTTTGGTAGAAGAAGTGGCTGAAGGAAGGGGCTTCTGAGAGAAGAAACCAGAAGCTGCTCCCAGCCAGAGAGAGCCAGTTTCAGCCAGATGCTTACAAAGTTAGTGTCTGTAAGGCTTGCATTTATGCAAGGGCTCTACGCTGAAAATAAGCCACATCAACAGATATGGCCTATACTGCTACACAAGCCAGTTTCTCCTTGTGTATTTAATAAATGCAATTAGATACTTCACATGCAAAAGGCTCTAGAACACAGCAATTATTAAAGCCATAAGTATTGGCTAAGAATCTGTGACTTAACTTATGGCAAAACACCAGCAGGGTAAACTGGAAGCTGTCCTTATTGTAAGTGTGGCACCTTGACACAAGAGATCTGCAGAAACCTTTTCAAGTCACAGATGTAGTGGTATTATGCTTAGGAACCTGGACAAAAAGTTCTAAGTCAAAGTTTCTACCTTGCTTCCACTGACGTTGTGGAATTTCTTCTCCAAAACCTTCTTCACTGGATCCTCTTCCTTGAAAGTGATGAACACAAACCCCCTCCTTTTGTTGGTCTTTGGATCCATTGGAAGTTCAATTGCTTCAATCTGAAGACATGAAATGCCATTTTCAGACTTGTATTTTAGCAGAACAGTTAAGTACAACGCATTTGGGACAGTAAAACTATTAAGTTTCCTCTCTATGTACATTATGCAACACCAAAGCTGCATTAGTCTTTCTATATTAACAGTGGCCTTCAGACCAGAGATGTCCCATTTTATAACTGTTCAGACCAATTTTAATATCAGATAAAATGCTGTGAGTTAAAGGCAAGGGTATCCAAGTAGCACTGGAAACATCTAGTGCAGTATGTGCCACCTTTGCTCTCAAGGTGGGAAACCTCTGGATCAGTTACAGAAGCCTTGATACATCTGAACTTAATTTACTTTGAAACTTCCAAAGTATTAATACACTAAATAGCAGCTGGAGACTACATGTTTCAGAGTTTACCAGGATAACATTACACACCTCTCCAAACTCTCCAAAGTATTCCCTGATTTTCTCTTCTGTGGCTTCTGGGTTTAGTCCACCAACAAATATTTTCTTCACTGGATCCTTTTTCATTGCCATGGCCTTCTTGGGATCAATTAGTCGGCCATCTAGTCTGTGTTCTTTCTGTTCCAGAACCTGAAAGACAGTTTGGTATGGTTAATTCAAGCTGAAAAGTTTCCCTTCAAACCTAAGGACCCAAACTATGAAGTTGAAATTCACCTTTTCAACACTCCCAGGTTCTTTGAAGAGAATAAATCCAAAGCCCCTGGATCTTCCTGTGTTAGGGTCCATCTTTATCGTGCAGTCGGTTACCTCACCAAATTTGGTGAAGTAATCTTTCAAGTCTTTTTTGCTCGTATCCCAACTGAGGCCACCAACAAACATCTTCCTGAAATTTCAAAGAGAACAGCTAGTTAGATTCAGGAAGGACTACAGCATAGCACAAGCAGCAAGATGCTCAGTGGCACACTCCTCAGCAGCATTGTCAGAACACAACCCACTGGGCCAAGTTGAACACTTGCCCCTTGTCTAAAGCTGGTGGTACTACAGGAGTGCACAAGGGTGGATTTCTCCCCCTCTTTTTGAGGAAATGCCACAATGCACCCTGAAGCTGATTACAGGCTATAAGAAACAGCACAAATTGCCTGAAATATTCCTCACCAGTAATTTATGCACTTTCAGTATTAGGTTGTTTGGAACAAAGCAGTATTGATTATCAGGTACTGCCAACTCAGTTTTTGCAAAGAACCCAGGATCATTCCTACTGCTCTGAAAGCATCCAGCAAAGAGTAAGGCATCAAAAGCAATATATTTCAGCTCTTTAAGGTTTTGGTCCAATGGCTGTAAAAATTTTAGTGCTAAGAACAATCTGCAAAATTTAAACCAAGTATCTGTGACCTCCAATAACAGTCACATACACGAGATAGGACTTTGAACCTGCCTTAACTACTATGTTGTACTCTTCTTCCTGGTTAGTTACTGAATCTAGTTCTGTTTTCATCAGTACTACAGGAGCCTCTCCACTATTAGCCTTTACTTCCAAAAAGGCCACCACAGTCCTTCCCTGCCCACTTTCCCACACAAAATATCCTCTGAAAAAGGAGATGCATCTCTAAGAACTAAATTCTAGTGAGACACAATACCCAAGTGCAGCTAACAAACAAAACAGTCATATCAGGCAATAAGGCATTTTTCAAATGCTTCACTTCAAATGAAAACATTAATAACACTGCTGTATTTTCTATTTTCAGAGTTTCCAAGGTAACAAACTAAGCTTTTAAAAGCATTCGAGCCTTTTTATCTAACTATAGACTGAAGCAGTTTTAAGTTGTCATTACACTGTTTAGAGGCAACCTAGATTTGGCACTAGGAGATATCAGCACTTTAAAAACTAGATTATGCCTAAATAAAATTGGCTTTGGGGGCTTCTGTGTAACTTTGATTGGCTAGAACTGCTATGCATTTATATTTAAAAAAAAAAAAAGGTGGGGAAAAAAAAGGTGCTTTAGGGGTTTTGCCCTTTTTCCTTAACCTGGATGAAATCAAATCCTTTTCAGGCTAAACCCTTGTGTTTTCCAGAAGAACTTGCTGTGCACTCTTAGCCGGTGAGTGCAGCAGGATCCTGCAGCCGTTAGAGCAGAGCCTTACAAAGTTTACTAAGCCTTTCAGTAGCAGGTGAAAGGACGGTCACTCGGTGGATTCCTTCCCATCGCTGCTCCCTGACCGAGCTATAACCCGTACGGACTCCAGCGGCATCACTGACCACACTCAGCTCAGGAGTAACTCCGTGGCTGAGGGATGACAGGATTTGTCCCGAGGCAGCTTTAGCTGCTTTGTGCCATCGGGTTGGGGCTGTGCTGCACTCACAGGCATTGCCACACGCTCAATTCACCTCTCACCACAGCAGCACACATCACACTCTGCAATTTGCAGTGCTTTGTTTTGTAACTTGAAAGGCTGATACCTACGTGTATTTAAGTAACACAATAGAGAGCCTCTGAAACTATGACCACGTTCCTGGTATTCGGGTTTGCCTTCAGAGGCCACAAACCGGACAACTGCACCCTTAACACCATCTTTCTTTTCTCCTCCTGAGAGTATTGGTGCAGCTACATCGAAGCTTGTTTCAGGTCTTAACAAAACACTCTAATGTCAGTGGCTTGGACAGCTCTTGTCCTAGCACAGCACTCTACATTTTCCACATAGGCCAACCAATCCCTCTAAAATAACTGCTTTTCTTGGAAGTTTCATTTCATACGGATTTGGGGCTGAAACTTGTCACCTCCAGAGCAGGAAAGGAAGAGCATCCCATTTTTTTTCAGTGCAGAAACACTAAAAACAGTAAAAGGAAAACTCGCACGCGGCTGGAAGGCCTGGTTTTAAATTCTTCTAATGTCTGCAAAAGATACATCCGGCCCCAGCTTGTAGGAAGCTTGTGCAAGTCTTATTCGTTCCTTTACGGCCCAAACCTATTGCACTGGCTTCAGCTCCCTGTCTGACCTGAGGGATCTGACCCTCTGGTCCAGGGCTCGGGGATAACAAAGGGAGTTCCAATTAAATACGCAGGGTAGCCCGAATAACAAAGACCCGCCTGAGAAAACAGGCAGGTCCTCTGCAAGTCGAGTAGGTATATTTATGAACAGACCCAACTACGATACGAAAGAAACTCCTATTTTGTACGCAAGGATGCCTCTACCAAAACACCGCGAAACTACTCTGACTCCTCCAGAAATCACCTGCAAGACATAAGCCGTTTTCTGACAATGCTGCAAAGTAGCGCACCAAAATCGCTCTTACTGGTTTGAACACACCGCGCACCGTCCCGATTTTCCCTTTACTTCCTTTATGAAATACTTGCCTTACCCCGACCGCCTTCCAAAGCCAGGATTATTTTTTTTTTTTTTTTATGCGCGTTACACAAAACACGTTCGCATTTACATCGACGCCGGTCACGCGATCCCCAGAAAGTTTCAACCACCCCCCCCCGGCCCTGCAACAGAAAGCAACTCCTTCCATCCGCCCCTTTTCGCTCGGGAGGGAAAAGGCTGAGGAAAAACGCGGGAGAGGTAAATCCCCTTCCATTTTACAGCGTGAGACGGCACCAGCCCCGCTCGGCGCCCCTCCCCCAGCCGCCACATGGCGCCAACAAAAGGCAGCGCCAGAACAAAGGAAGCGCTGGTGCTGCAGGGCCCCGGCTCGGCGGGGCCGCTCCCGCCGCCCTCCCCGCGGGGCCGGGGGCGCTGCCGGGCCCGCCGGGCCGCGCTCGGCGCCCGCGCTTACCCCGCGTCCTCCTCGTTCTTGCTGGCGTTGATCTGGTCGCCCTCGGCCCCGTTCTGGCTGGCGGCCGTGCCCGCCGTGCCCGCTGCCGGACCGGCTCCCGCCGCCGCCGCCGCCGCTCCCGCTGCCCCCGCCGCCGCCGGGGCCGCGCCGCTCTCGGCCTGCTGCTCCCCGGCGTTCTCGGCCGCTTCGTGCCCGTTCTGGGTGGCGCCGGCCGCCAGCTGCTGCTCCGCTTCGGACATGGTGCCCCGTCCGCCGAGGGAGAGGGACGAGAGGCTCCTGCGAGAGACGAGCGCGGGTCAGCGCGGCGGCTCCTCCTCCCCGGCCCGGCCGGTCTGATCCGGTCCGCTCGCACCCCTCCCCCTTTCCGCCGCCGCCATCCCGCCCGTTACTCACTTTAAAACTCGCTCCCGATAAAACCCGGGCCGTCCGGATGGCGATCAGAAGCGCCGCGGCGCTGGAGCTGGAGCCGATCGCGCTGCCCGCGGCTGCTCCGCTCCGGCCGCGCCGCCACCGCCGCCTCCCCCTCAGACACGTACTCGGCCCAGGCCCGCGACGCGTGGCCGCCTTTATAGCGCCGGAGCCTCCGCCACCCCGCAACAAGGCGCGCGCTCGTTGGCCGCCGCCGCCTGTCACTCAACGCGTCCGGCGCCCGCCGTTGGCTGCGCCGCGGGGGATGGGCGGGGCCCGACCGGGAAAGGCGGGCGAGGCGGGATGGGGAGCGGAATATCGGGATGGGAATATCGGGATGGGGAGCGGGATACCGGGATGGGGAGCGGGATATCGGGATGGGGAGCGGGATATCGGGATGGGGAGCGGGATATCGGGTTGGGGGTCGGGGTATCGGGTTGGGGGTCGGGGTATCGGGTTGGGGGTCGGGATATCGGGTTGGGGGTCGGGATATGGGAGCGGGGCCTGGCGCTCCATCCCGAGGTGCGCTCTGCGCTCGGAGCCGGTCGCTGCTCCAGGACACGGGGCCGTTTCGCTCCGCGTTCCCAGCTCCGCTGGTTCTGGGCCCCAAGCGGGACCGGGATTTGGTGTGGGTTGGTTGTTGGTTTTTTTTTTTCGGTTTTCTTTTTAAACTCAGGTCGGATATTACATAACCGCGGGAGCACCGAGCACATGCCCAGCCCTCAATCCCTTTCGCCCAGGGAGGGACGTGTCAGCCTGCCTGGCCGAGCCCAGTGCAGAGCTCCGCTTGCACCCACAGCTCCGTGGGACGAGCTCGGCTTCTGGACGCGCAGCCAAAGCTCGCGGCCACATCTTTAAATTAGAGAATAAAACGTTAAGCGCTTTGCTCGTGGGCAAAAAGCGGTAATTATTACCTAACTTACCGTAGTCATGAGTGCACGTGGTACTGCCCGCTGCACCCTCTTAAATCTCTCTTGTGGCTCAACTTGCCTATTTTTCATCTGCTGTTACAACTCCGAAGGAGCGCACGGAGCTACTTGTGAATAAAAGTAAATAGCAGTGATACATTTTGTTAAGCCTGGGTTTTGGGATCTGAGCTGTCCTTCTTTTAGAGCACTTTTTGTCCTAAATGCAGCAGGCCAGAACTTCAGAGATGTCTATCTCAACACAGGGTGCTGACAGGGTAGGGTACCCTACAGACAAACTACAATTTAGGCTGAACTTTGTAAAACAATGTTCTCTCAGGTCAGGGCAGTAAAGGCAGTACAAAAAGCACCTAAGCAGTACCCTTGAAAATTGTAATGTCCTCAGGACAGGTTGCAGATGTTGGCTGACAAAGATACTTATCTTCATGAGAATATATTTTTAGATCGTTTTCTTGTATTAAACTGTAAATAAAATGTTAGAGGCAAAGGATTTTTTCTTAAAGTATTTGTCCTAATTTATGCCATTTCAGAAGAGCTTACCCCACATCCAGCAAGAGGACTTCTTGTGACTTCTTCAGGAAGCTCTGGCTTAGATTGTAAACCTATCGGGTTTACACCAAAAAGGTGTGGTTTGTGATTAAAACCAGCTCAGCCACTGTCTGTCAGCTGACTGCATTCACTGACACAGTGCTGATAACCTGCGTAATTAGGAAATACCACACATTTGCTTAAATCATTACCTGCAGCCCAGGCCACACTGATACTTGCAGGTTGCTGTGGTTGACGCTGATGAAGTGGTGAATGCCACTGATCTTGTGCTCTGTGCACCTTCTTTCTGCAGGTTTTTGTGGATGCAGTTCTGGCAGGTGACTGCAGGAATTCACCTGCCCTGGAGTTACAGATTTATAGACCAGCACCTGAGAGTAAAAACTGTAGCAGTTTACACGGGTCTGTGAGGTGAGTTTAGGCTCAGCTGATGGATGTAACCTGAGTACTCTTCATGATATTTTTATTACTTCATTTTCTTGGAAGATTCACTGCCCACAACATCTGCTTTTTATTTCACAGTCTTGCTAAGGATGGCAATGATTGCCATCTCATTTGGACTTTTCCATACATTTACCTTTTCTCCTTTTTTTTCTTGCTTTTCTGAACCTGTCTCATCTTCCCTTTCCACTGGCACTTTGGCAAGTGTTTTCCTGTTCCTGCTTTCTTTGAAGCTGTGGGGTTTTTTTCCAGCTGCCCGTTTCTCCTGGTCAGGTCCACCTCAATCTCTCATCTTGGCAATTCCCAACAGAGCTCTCTGTGATTCCCAGACACCCCATTTTAATAGCTGTTTGATGCCTCCTGTGTCCCGTGTCCAGCAGCAGGATAACAGTGTGGTTGTAGACTGGCTGAGCAGCCTGGTTTGAAAACTCTGCCTGGCCCAGCTAACAAAGTCATTCTTCACACATCTAGACATGGAAGAGTTGAGAGTATGGGTTGTTATGGTTATAATTTGTCTCACCAGGCCCCATCATGCCACAGGTAATTTTAAAAAATTCTTCTGGGCTGAGACTTTGGTTTTGGTCTTGCATTTCACTCCCCACTCAAAGCCTGTGGTTAATCAAAGAAAAGTACACACATACCTTCCTGTGTGGTAATTCTCCTTACCTGACACATTTACCACTGAGAAAAAAAAACAAACCTCATTGTTTGCCATTTTTTAATCCTGTAATTACTATTTTAATCCTGTAATTACTATTCATGGTATTGCCTGAATTTCAATTGAATTTTACTTGCACATGGACTTTCTGATCTTGGGCCTAATTTTGCTGTTCTATCAAACTTGCAGTGTATGCCAAGCCCTGTCTTGAAAACTGTTCATTGTAGTTTTGTGCCATACCTGTCTTCATTGCCTCCTTCCCTTCATCTTCTCCATTTCCCCATTATTTCCAGGATTTTTCTAGGTCCCCTCTTCTTTAAAAAAAAAAAGAGAACAAACATCATTCACTGTCTTGAATCTTGGTGTAATTTATCCCTATGCCTGTCTTGTCTAAATTGATTGAAAGCATCCCAGGTCACAGACTGCCTGTTCTATACCAATTAGAGATGCTATAGGAAGCTTCTGTCTGAGTTAGTCTTTATACACAGCACAAATAAATACATTTTATTAATAATAATAACTATGCAAGTAACCCCATTGATTTCAGTGGTAGGGCTGAAGGTAAGGGCTAAAAATAAGGATGGCAAAAAGAATTCCTTATGCAACATAGAACTGAGATGAAGAGAAGATGCCTTTGAGGAGGCACTGACAATATATCTTGAAAAAAAGACTTATTTAACTGATTGCCTCTTGTAATTTGTTAGATAAAATATTTTTATTGGTTTATTCATACACTCATTTCTTCATCGTGGATGGGATCACACTGGCTACTTATCCCTGAGCTTAGAGGCCTCAGGGATAATCCAAGCCAGTATTATGTTAAACATTATGTAGAACAATGAAGCAGCAAATGCCTGCAAGTGTTTCTGCTCCAAAAGTTTAGGTAAAACCCTAATACCAGTGTGCAGTATCTGTACAGAATGTCTGTGTACAGATGAGGAGGAGCTTTATAGAAAACAAGTTGTCAATGCCAACCTCTACAGGTGTTCAGCAGGACCTCATTCTGAACAACAAGGTGGGATAAAGCAGGAAGGTGTTCACTGGGAAGGGCAGTAGTAGAATTCAGTTGTAGGGCTGGCAGGACACAGGAGATACCTTTACAGAGTGAAACAAAAGGTACATGGAACCAGCTCAGTGCATGATTGGAACTGAAGAAGAGCAGGTTTGTGTGTGAGAGAGAGACACGTCTCTTTGGGAAGGTGTGGGAAACTAGCATAGTTACTGAAGAACTAATTAAAAGGCCTTGCAGAGCTTTCTGAATGGAAGCAAAAGCTTTATTTGCTGAGGTCAGAGAAAAGGTTGTCATCAATAACTGAGATGAGGAGAGCTCGAGCACAATCCCCAGTCAGGTCAATAAATAACAAAACCATGTCTTGGCTGACTTTTCCCCAGCTGTTTAGACCGATCTGAGCCCAAACCACATGTTTGTAAGGTTCCCACTCCTTTGCTCAGTTGGCTGTAAAATCACTCAGTGAAAAGGGGTTGAGTTTCAGGCAGATGGTTTGTCTAACACACTCCCGTTCCCCAGATTTGGATTGCAACAGAGACACCTGAGGCTGGAGAAGGCAGAGCGTTGAGAGGCAATCCCACCTACACTCACCCATTAGGATGTGAGCTTGGAGAGAAGGGAGGAGAGTCAAAAATGGCACTCACCACTGCAGAAAAGGGAAAGAAACTTAAGGGAAAGGGCTGACAAGCCAAGCTGAACCAGCTGAAATAACTGCAAAAGCTAAGCTAGGACACCATCTAGGTATGTTAAACGTGACTGAAGGGCAAACAAGGGAGTGGTTTAAGATGGATTGAGAAGCTTTCAGATGATGAGAGGAAGCAAAACCGAGTTTGAAGGGAACCTTTTTTTTTTTTTTTTAAGGTAAAGAGACAAGCATATCTGTGTGGGTGCTGGGGGTCAGAGCAGACTGAACAAGTAAAGCTGTGAGCAAATGAAGGAGTGGGTGTTGGGAAGATCAGGAAATGATATAGAGTGAAGTTAACAGGGCAAGTGATGGAGTTATAGAGGACGTGTAGATAAACTTTTGTTATTGCCACCTAGAGACTTGTAGACAGAGGAAGCAGCAAGAGACTAATTTATTACTTTTATCTTGAAGGAAAATGGTGAGATAACAATTACAGGACAGCAGAAAGGAAGGCCTGACAAGGGTTAACCAGCAGCAATGGAGAGCTCAGTAGGATTACAGGAGAGCAGAGGAGCTGCAGAAGGAGAATTGTTTAGTTGTGAGGAGGCAGAAATGGAGGAGAGAGCGGGCGTGCAGGAGAGGAAGTTGGCTGGATCACAGGATTTCCGTCAGAGACACTTTGCACTGCAAGAGCAAGCATGGATGAGGCAAGCAGGGAAGGTAAGCTGGTTCTGTGGGTAGGTATGACAGTTCATCCTGAAAAGAAAGGAAAAAAAGAGTCAGTGGTGAGCGAAAGTTGGGTGTGGTAAATGTGCAGTTAGGATATTGCTGCCGAAGCAAACACATTTCTGTACTTAACCTCAAAATGCAAATAAAGCTACAAGATGTGTGAGCTTCCTTCTTAATCAATGCTACTAGTTGGTATTATTTCTGCAGCTTTTCTTCACTGTTATTTTCATCATTTTGGGTTTTTTTCCTTTTTTAACAGTCTACAAGATGTTGGTTTCTGCACCTTCTTGCAGTACAAAGCTCTGAAATAATACTTTTCCTTAAAACGTTATTTGTCTGTTGTTGCTAGGATTTAAATGCACCTGCAGCCCACAATCTTTCCATGTTGTTATATTCCATGCCAGCTAAAAATAAGTGAGACAACTAAGGCTTGTTAAACCTCTTAACAGATAAGATACAGCAGCCAAGCTATGCCCAGAATATTCAGAACTGCAATTGCTCATTGCATTGTAATTATAATTTTTTGTTTCTTTTCTTAAAACCACATCCCTGACCTCCAGAAGTTAGGGAAGATGCTTCAGACCAGCCTTTCAGTTGTCAGAAATATTTTTGCAAGCACTATAAAAGATAGTGAACATAATTTATTAACGCAGAGCTTTAAGGGCAGGCTTGTGGCATCTGAGGCTTTAGAAGAAAGCTTTGGGGTTCTGGTGGTGTAAAAAGATGTGCCTTTTGGGGGGGGAACACGTGATTTTTCTCTTAATGTGTGGGGCCGCTTTAAATTTGTACGGCTGAGTTATTAAAGCGTCGTGGGAAGTGCAGCAGGAGGGGACCCGGGGTAATTGGCTGCAGCTCCAGATGCAGCCGCGCGCTCATTGGAGAGCGGAGGATTCTCCCAGAACTAAAATTAGACAATCTCCGCCCTCCAGAAATGCTTCTGGAAACAGCGAGCAGGAGAAATTCTGACACAGCCCAAGGGCCTGCGGAGAGGAGAGGAGAGAAGTGCACAGGACTCTGCTCCCGGCCAAACTGCAGCCTCCAAGGATGCACAGAAAAGATGTTTGGGGGTTTTTTAACTCGGTTAACTGCAAAAAAAAATAAATGCACGCAATAAGGAAATTGCAAGGGATTTTACACTGTTTTGCACTGATACTAAATCCAACATTTCTTATGTAATAATCCTGAAGTGTTCATGCAGGCTGAGGAAGCCTTTGACTGCTAAATTTAAGCTAGGGCTGTCAGACTTGAGCTCACTGAAAAGGAACGAGTCTTGCTGAATTAATTCTGAACTAAACTACAAAACTGGTCAACTTTTTCTATCAGCAATTTTTTTTTTTTAAATAAAACCTGTTTATCAGTTATCTCTCTGTAGTTGCAGTGTTTACGCTGTCTTCAAATAAAATACTGCATAAAATATTTCTGTAAAATAAAAAATTGCTAGGTGCCTGTATGAGTGAAGGAAAACCTGTATCTGAATTACTCAGTCTAAGGCATTTGGAACCTTTATTTTTTTAGGGCATATGAATAACAACTTCAGTCTTTGGTTTTTAAGCATATCTCAAACTGGCTGAGAGGAAATAATTGCATTGGTTTGTTTCTTGTTTTTATAGTATTTACATTACTCACGAAAAAGATTAGGACAAAATGGATTTTTCTTACACTAAAACCAGCTTGTGCAGTAAATTAGCCATTTCCTCAGCTAACCAGGGCACACAGTGTCAGCATCTATGGCTCCAAATAGGGGTTTTTTTTGGTCTTTTCTCCTTTGCATCTACTTTTGGTTTGATTTAATTAAAAAAATAATGCTTATATTCCTGTGTTTTCTTTCTGTCACTTTACCAGTGTCACCCCAAGGGCTGAAGCGCAGTTTTGGCTGAACTCACCAGCGGGCCCAAGGTCTCCAGAGCACCTCAGATGGCAGAGTTTTTGACAGAAGGGTGACGAGGGAGAGGAGCAGGGTGACAGAGCCAGCTCAGGGGTTATCGGTGCCGCTCTCCGGCCCACGCCCCGATAGCGCGGGGCCAGCTGGCCGGGCTCCATCCCGGGAGCTCGGGGTAAACAGGGACGGAGGCAGCACCCAACGCCTCGGCTTCCCTGCTATGGCACACAGGATCATGTTGGATGGACCGTGGCTGTGCCAGAATTTTTCCCAGCTGAGGAAATAGGGAGCAAATGTATCGGCATCACGGTAGAAAATCTGGGATAAAGCCCCAGGGAACGCGGCTCTCCAGCTCTGCTGAAGGCACAACTCGTCATGGCTTAATGCAAAAAAACTGCTTCCTACTCATTAAATGTTTGCTTTTCTCGTAAGAGTTAGGTGGCACTGCACAGGCACTGTAATTCATTAAAAGTGCTGAAGAACACCATTAGAGAGCTGTGGAGCTGGATCAGTGGCTGGGTGTGCCGGAGGCTGTGTGCTGTGAGCTCTTGAACCCGCTGCTGCTGGGCAGGAAAGTAAACAGGAAACCACCACAAACACCGATAAGTAACCTGCAAAGCCCTTCTGTGCGTATTCTTTATTTTTTCCCCCCCTGATAAATCGCGTTACTTCACGAGCGTTTGCTGAGAGCTCACCCCCTCCCTCAGCGCTTCTAAGCGTGAGGTAAAACTGGCATAAAGCTTTTATTGTCACGGCAAAATGGGGGTTTTTTGGGAGTCCCCTCCAGATCACGGTACTCCTGCCCCACACGGGGAGCCCTTCCCGAGGCAGCTGTGGCCGCCGGTTGTTGCCCCGCGGCCGCCCCGGCCCCTGAGGGCCGCTCCGCCTCCGGCCGCCATCACCGCGCCGCTCCCGCCGCCATCTTCGTCCCGCCCCGCCCCGCGCGCGGCCGAGGCCCGCGGGCGCCATCTTGTGTGCGGGGCTGGCCCCGCCATCGCCCGGCAACGGCGGGCCGGGATCGCCGGGAATCCCCCAGGAATACAGGGTTAGGAAAGCCCATCCCGGCCCCCAGGCAGGTGGAACGGAGAGGTTACGTGCGAGTGTTGCAGCGGGCAGACAGCCAGGCGGATGCTGCGTGCCTGGGTCTGCTCCGGGGCTCATGGGAGCACAGCGAGCGGTGGGCGAGGGAAGCGCTGCAGGTGTCGTTGTGTGCGGCTCTGGGAGGGTGGGACACCATCCCCCACAGCATCCTGATCTTTTAATTCGCTTCAAATGGCTGAGGGAGCTGGAGGTGTTCAGCCTGGAGAGGAGAAGGCTCCAGTGTCTAAAGGGGCTCCAAAAGAGCTGGAGAGGACCTGGAGGGACAGTGCAAGGGGCAACGGCTTCACACTGACATATGGGGATTAGATGGGATATTGGAAGGAAATTCTTCCTTGTGAGGGTGGGCAGGCCATGGCACAGGTTGCCCAGAGAAGCTGTGGCTGCCCCTGGATCCCTGGAAGTGTCCAAGGCCAGGTTGGACAGGGCTTGGAGCAACCTGGGCTGGTGGAAGGGATTGGAACTGGATGGTCTTTAAGGTCCCTTCCAACCCATGCCATTCTTGATAAGAAGAAGGTCACAAGTGGTCACAGGTCTGTAGGAAACCCTCACAATAGTTCCCCCATTCCTGACAGTTCTGTGCTCAGGGCTTGCCAATGGATCCGCTCAGTGAGAAAACTGGCACTTTGTCTTGAGCAATTAAATAGCCATTGAGAAATACCCTGAGGCTCAGAGATGGACCAGCTCCCCACTCTTCACCCATGAGGATACAGATTTGGGGTTTGGAGGGACCCAGGGTTGGTGGATGGGGGGTGTGGGAGCGCAGTGAGCCCACGTGCCTGGCTCACTCCTGCACGCAGCAAGGTGTGTGGACAAACTCCAAATGTCCTGGTGTCATTGCAGTACCAAAGGGGCACGTGAATTGGGAAGCCAAGATGGAGGCGTTAATGCCCGAACCTCAGATTTATGTGGAAAAAACTCTGGCTCTCATCAAACCTGATGTCATTCATAAGGAAGAAGAAATAGAGGATATCATTCTCCGATCAGGATTCACGATTGTTCAGGTAACACGCTGTGCTCCAGAGAAACAACTGCAGCTTATAAGTCAGGACAATATTTATTTTAACTTTCAGCAGTCAAGCCAGTAACTAAAAACTTGTGTGTCCAAAAATCAATTTATATTTTTCATATGTCATCGAACCATCGCTGCCAGGTTCTGTAAGGAGACCTTTTTTTTTGGTGCATGGGATGAAACAGAGCAGATCAGCTATTTTGCTGACCACGGGAAAACACTGACTTTGTTAATAAAAGATTTAGCAAACGCCTGGAGCAGATGTGTGGACTCTCTGAAGTAACTCTTTGGAGAGCACATCATTCTGGTCTCAGGAGGTTTTGTGCAGCATGCGGGGAGATAGTAGAGAATTAATTGAATTCGACAGCTGGCCAGTTGCAGTCTGACTTCTTTTTGGTTTCCGTTGTTTTTACAGTAAATTGGTTTAATGGGTATTTAAATGAGGTTTATGAATATGTAAATGAGCTCGGATTGTTGGCCGCTGGGGAGCGCTGTGCGCTCGCGCCTGAGGGCGCGGGGGCTCCGCCCCCCTTTGGGTGGGGTTTTTTGGTACCTTTCTGGTTCTTTTATTTATTCCTGTTTATTATTTGCGTTTATTTATTTATGCACCTGTTGGAGACACTCCAGAAGAGGTCACGAAGATGCTCCGTGGGCTGGAGCATCTCTGCTTTGCAGACAGACTGAGAGAATTGGGGGTGTTCAGCCTAGGGGGCCTTAGAGACCCTTCCAGAGCCTAAAGGCGCTCCAGGAGAGCTGGAGAGGGACTTGGGACAAGGGATGGAGGGACGGGACAGGGGGAATGGCTTCACCCTGACAGATGGGATATGGGAGGAAATTTTTCCCTGTAAGGGTAGTGAGACTGGCACAGGTTGCCCAGAGAAGCTGTGGCCTCCCCATCCCTGAAAGTGTCCAAGGCCAGGTTGGACAGGGGCCTGGAGCAACCTGGGCTGGTGGAAGGTGTCCCTGCCCAGGGCAGAGAAGTTGGAACCAGATGATTTTTAAGGCCACTTCCAACCCAAACCACTCCATGATTCTATTGATATGTATCAGAAGATGAAACAAATTAGATATATTTACTTATTTATTTATTTAATTCTAATATGTTAATGGAGTCCTCTGATGTTTCCAGTGACTTTTGACACCAAAGTTATTAGGACTCTGAATTTATGGTATTCTTGTGTTGTGTAAGTTTGAGCTCAAAGAATGCACTTGAAAATTTTTTTCTTGACTGCCCTGTGCTTTCTGATAACCTCCCAGAGTTGTCCTGATCCTGGCCACCTGCAGTCTAGGCAGCTATTGGGAGAGTGACAAGGCATGAGATACTGGATGAAAAATAGAACAATTGCATAATTAACAGTGTGGGCTGCAGAGAAACTTGTGTAAAAGTAGAACATTATGCTCGAGCAGCTGAATAATGAAATCCTGCCCTTGTAACGCTCTTCACTTTGTCTGTACAGTGCCCTGACTGTCATCCAGCAGTTAGAAAATGCTGTAGTTTGCCTGGGCTAAAATCGCATCTTCCTCAAATGGCCTGTTTGCTTAATTAAGTTGGACAACTCTTGCTCTTTGTTACTCTGTATCTCAAAGAGAATCAGATCTAGGAGAGTCAGATTAGGCTTGGAAGTTGCTTGTTCTGCTCTTGAAGATATGGCTGCAGCAGAGGACTGTATCCTCTCTGAGGTCTTCTAATGCTCTGAGCTCTTTTCATGTACCAAATTTTTTAATTCTTTTTTTTTTTTGTCTTTTACACTTTATAGAAACGAAGGCTCCATTTAAGCCCAGAGCAATGTAGCAACTTCTATGCAGACCAATTTGGAAAAATGTTTTTTCCTAATTTAACAGCCTATATGAGTTCTGGCCCTTTAGTTGCTATGGTTCTTGCCAGACATGGTGCAATCTCACACTGGAAGGAATTGCTTGGACCATCCAACAGCCTAAGAGCTAGGATAACTCACCCTCACAGGTAACTCACTGGCTGGCCTTGGGCAAGTCAGCAGGACTTTGTCATTCTCTTAATTGAGACCAGAATTCCTCCCTTTTTTTATTTTTTGTTTTGTTTTTGTACAGTACAGCCACAGATTTGGAGTGGCTTCTTATCTCTTCACTTTTCTGTAACAGCTTTTCACCTTTGTTTTTAGTATGTGGGGTTCACCTCTTTTGTAGGGAATGGTGAGTGCTTGAACATGAGTTTGAGGTAGCTACTTCCTATGTTTAAAATAAAATTAAGCCTGTGTCCTGTTAATTAGTCCATATATATATATATATATATATATATATAACTTTTCTGTGCTCTCAGACTGCAGAGACCTGGAAGGGATTTGCAGCTGCCCTCCAAGCAGTTATTTCTCTTGTTGTTTAGCTTAAGAGCACTCTATGGGACTGATGAGCTGAGGAATGGGCTTCATGGCAGCCTCAACGTTTCCTCAGCAGAGAGAGAGATTCGATTCATGTTTCCAGAAGGTAAAATGGTTCAATTGGTACATTGCCAGTTTTGGGGAGGATAAATTCCTTCCCTGTCTATCCCTGGTATTACTTGTCTCTGCCCAGACTCCAAATGCAATCGATTTAGAGGAGATTGGGTTTGTTTGTTGTTTAAGATTGTGGGTCTCTCTGTATAAGGTGGTACTTTCTTCTGTGAAAGACTACCAAATCTATCTGAAGAGCCAATATAGTTACAGGGATTGCTTCCCCTTTTCAAACTCTGTACTCAGAGAACTGGAGCAGGCAGAGCTGGTAAATGAGAGGAAATGGGAAGCTGTTACACTCCAGCAAGTGTTTCTGGCACTGTCAGCCCCGGAGACTCCTGTTGACTTGAGAATTCTCAGCTGACTCTCTTCTTGGGCTCAGGCTGAGTAATTCCTGTTCAAAAACAGCTGGATGCTCACATGACAGTGCAATTCCAAAGTTAAGTGCCAGAGAAGACGCCTTAGAACCTGGAAAGGCTGGGAGAGCATCTCTTGTTTGTAACAGGCTTTGCTTTTTGACAGAAGGATGCAAGTGCAAGTGCTAGAAAAACGTGTCTGCTTTTGTCAAGCAGATCAGTGAATTTAACAGAAGATGTTGCACTTCCCTCCAAACCTTATCCACTGTAAGCTGTGTCTCTTCTCCTCACCCTGCCAACAAAGCAGGGCTAAAGGTGGGATTTGCAGGGTCTTCAGAAAGCACCTTCACACTGCAAGAAATGGGATATATTGTTTCCCTTCAAGGATACAGGTTTTCCCCGGATGATCCCATTTCCTCCTTTTCCATAATAGACTATAATTAGTAACATTACCTCAGGGACATTGTAAAGAGGTTTAGGGAGTTTCTTTGCAGTTTGTTGTGGGAGAAGCTATAAACCCCACCAGGTATTATTAACTTGTTAAGGAGAAGAGCAGCTCACGTATAAACAACCTTTGGAAGAGCAGCTGTTTTAATCACTCCACAAGCTGCTTCCTAACACCTTTGGTTACTCTTCCCAGCGATCCTGGAGCCAGTTCCCACTGGACAAAGAGCAAGGGATTACCTGAACCTGTATGTGAAGCCAACGTTGCTGGCTGGGCTCACTGCCCTGTGCAAAAAGAAGCCAGCAGACCCAATGGTAGGTACAGTAGGAGCTTTGGGAAAAGCTTTGGGATGTGTTTCCTCTAAGTCCCTGTACGTAGGAAAACTGCTCTTGCTGAAGAGCTGGGCTGTTTTAGCTACCACCTAATGAGCTAATCAAATAACATTTGGTTTCAACAGGTTGATTTGTTTGTTAGAGATGAAACAAGGCTGTGTTTTCAGTCCCTAAACAAAATGAGCTTTCTTTCATCTGGAAAAATAGGGTAAATGTGTTCTTGTGTTTTTAAAGCTCCACTAGTACCAGTTCACACTAGTACTTCTTTAAGCAGGCAGATAATTAATCCTTGTGACAACTTGCTGGCAGTTGTGGGGATTTTACATCATTATCAGCTTTATAATCAACATTGCATTTTTCTAAAAGACACATTTCAGGGGAAAAAAAAGCCTGAAAAATAACTTGGGGTGTTTTTATGAACATGTGATATACATGAGGTCAAATTAAATGCACTTGGAATTGTTCCAGCTTTATAACCTATTTACTTTATCTGTATGTCTGGCACTGTTACCATAGAAATCTAGAAAACAGAGATGAAGTCCATCCCTTTGCCAAAGGCCAGAGCAGTTGTATCTATTCCCAACAAATGTGTCTCTGGCCTGTTCTTTAGCACTCCAAATGCTGGAGAATCTACAGTCTCCCTGGGCAATCTGTTTCAGTGCTTAATGATACTTAGTTAAAAGCTTTCACTAAAAGATAGCCTAAATCTCCTGGGCTCCAATTTTAAGCCCATTACTTTTTTTCTCCCCTTTTTACTATCCCCAGAAGACACTGGAGACAATGTATTATTTGAAGAGTATTACCATCTTCTTTCCCTTCAGTCATCTCTTCACTGTATTAAAAACTGATTTTTTTTCTTGTTACTAGTCCCATTATTTTAACTCATTGTTTTGGGTTTCAATTAATCTGCATTCTTAGCACAATTTTCTAGTCAGTTATGAGGTATCCAATAGTAACTTAATCGAGGCAATGCTTTCCTTTGCTTATATGAAAGCTGCATGAAGCAGTGTCAATAGCTTTGCTGAAAACATTATATTTGCACCTTCTTGGCCTTCACAAGGCCAATGTTTTGGTTTTCCCAGTATCCTTTTTTTTTTCCCCTTCTTTCCTTCCTTCTGGAAGATGCCATCAGAAATGGTCTGTGCACTCAGAAATACTTGCTGGCAGCACAGAGGTTGTCTCAGCCAATTCCTGAAGTAACACAGGATAAATTTAATTGAGTTCAAATTATTTTTTTTTCTTTTCCCCAGAGTGGCTTTTCTAAGGGATTTTTGTGTTTTGGGATATTGTGTTTGACTGTTTTCCATTTACGTCTTGTGTTCTTACTGTTCCTCTGCTGTTCTGACCAACCTGGTCTGCCATTCCACCAGTTCTTTCACTTCCCAGCCTGGTATGAAGTTTGTTGGACTCAGCATTCCAGAAGCTAATGGTCAACAGCCCTGTGGAGTAAATAAGGATGTGTTCAAAACTGTGCTTTACAAGAGGAGAAATCGAGGCAAAAGGTTAATTTACCTAAGGCCAGGCCCAGACTGGCAGATGGAGTTGAGACTCAAGGCATTCCTGCCTCCCACATTCTTATCCAAGGAAAACGTGCTGGAAAACTTAGGAGATGAATTTCAAAAAGTAACCACGTTTTGGTTTTAAGCTTTAGGTATTATAAAGTGATTTCAGTGCAGAAGGCTGGCACTTTGAATGAATGATTGCTAGATGAGGTATCTGTAAGTGTTGTCAGGAGCAATATTTCATTAAGCAGTTTCATGTGTCTCGTGCAGCCTCATCCCAAAGCAGAGCTGGCTGGATTGTTTGAAATGTGGCTCAAATGTTCTTATAATTACAAAAAGATAAACACTGCCAGGAAAAGTTGTCTTCTAAAGGTCAGTGTGAATTGTTCAAAAGCAATATAAGCTGTGAACATTTAAAAGGACATTTTGAAGAAGCAGGTTATCTGTATGTCCAGTTTTTTTCTGAAAGGTCTTAATTTTGCAGCACAGTATGAGAGTACCTGCAGCAGAGGTTTCAAATAATGCTTTTAATATTCTTCCATACATTTAGTAGAAAACAACAGAAAACTGACAACATTTGGGGGTTTTGTCCACAGATTTGGCTTGCTGACTGGTTGATTGAACACAATCCTAATAAACCTAAACTACAATTTCGTCTCTGAGGAGGAGCATCAGGGCTGAGGGCTCAGTGGAAACCACCTCAGGCATTTCAACTACAGATGTGTATTATCAGTGTGTCCCTTGACTGTGTAACCAATATTATCTGAAATAAATGCATTTATCATAACTACTTGTGCCTTCATGGAACAAATAACCTTACACTTAACCAGGATGAAGTAGTTCTAGTGGCTTCTCTGATGACAAAGTGAATGTAGAATTACATCATAAATATATGGCATTGGGTGATTAGAAAAAGACAACATTCCCAGCAGGTGTGACTTACTGCTATTTCCCTCATTTTTCTTGGTGTGGGGAGAACAAAATTATTTACCCCAGTGTGGATTCCCAGATGACACCCACCTGGCCTGTGCTTTGTGAAACCAAGAGTGGTGTTGCAGCATTTTCTTTGCAGAGAGGAATTCAGTTGTGAGGTTACTTGGATGTGACAATTACTAGAGGCCTCTTAGCAACTTGGGAATTTTAATTGCTGATCACATCACCTAGCTAAGGTTACTCTTGAAGATGATTTATTTTGTCAGAGTGTAATTTGAAGGTACACTGAATGCACCTTTCCCATCTTGATGGCAAAAGGCACAGTGATTATAAATCAGTCTTTGATTTCATTACAAGTCCCAAGAAGATGTATTTTAGTCAAGGATTAGGGTTATCTTCCAACATTTCTTTTCAAGCGAAGTGCTTGCCTGGAACAGCTCACCCCAGGAGTGTTTTCTGTGTGCTCCTGCTCTTAAAGGGATGCAGATTTCTGGTTTTCCCTTGAACTTTGGTGTGTTCTGTTTGAGAATTTGAAGAGAATGGGGCAATAAGTCAGTCCCACATTATTACCTTTTCTGAAGTAAATGAGCTGTTATTTGGGGATGTGGGGCTTTTTAATTTCCTTCAAAGAGCTGTACTTATGCTCTTAACTTCAAGCTTAATATCTTACAGTTTGACTGGCTAGGATGAAGAAAGTGTCATTTTCATAACCCTGAAATATTGCTATGCTTGACTAATACTAAACAAACAAGGAATTTCATAATTTGTTTCATGAAAAAACTTGCTCCCCTAATTTCAGTCATTACCAGAAACGTAAGTCATTTATTTTTAACATTAAACATTAAGTGAATTGTTTATCCTCTCCGTGGAATAAACCACTATTGCCAGCCCTGAGAATAACCATTTAGAAAACTGGTCCCTACAGCACCAGGACCTAAAAATCTTTGGACTTCTAGGATAAGAAGAAAAAAAAAAAAAAAAAAGAAAGAAAGAAAGAAAGCTCAAACCCTTGAATAATGAAGAAAAAAAAATGAGGTGGTTAGAAATACAGCAGACAGATCTGTTGACATCCAATTTATTTTGCCTGTAAGTTTTTGTCCCCATATGTGTCTGATTGCTCCAATTACAGGACAGTTGTGCTGTGTGGTTTCCTGTCAGCAAAATTTAAAAAAATTCCTTTTTGAAGATGCCAGAAACTAAACCCCAGTGAATTCACCGGGCATTCAGCTGTGTTTTTTTAGTTACTGTGGCATTTGCTTACTTATTTTGATGTGATCCTGCTTGACAATAAATACGTTACTGCTGGAGTTTCCAGTTTTGCTTTTGTACCTACAGAGATTATAACTTCATAGAGCAGGTGGGTCCTCACCAGGGGGTTTGGGAGGAAGGGCAAAGGCAAATGATGTTGCAAATGTCACCTTTGTCACCTGTGTGATAGAAATTTTCAGTCATTCAAGTGTTCATCTGCCATGGGAATTATTCTCTCACATTGGAGCTAACACGGGGTGTTCACCTCCTTTTTTCCAAGGGAAAGGTAGAAAGAGAGAAGTTCCCTTCATCCCATGGGTGCCATCCGGACTCTGTGCTCACAGGACAAGCGTTGATCCAGCAAATCTCGCAGCTGAGAGCTTGAGGAACCTGCATGAATAAGCAGGGTGGGGGCAGAGAATCAGTCCTGGGAGCGTGAAATGCAGAACCCGCCTGGTCCCGTGGGGGAGCTGTGACACCGCGGGAGAGGCTGTCGGGGCTGCTGCTTCTCTTTTGGTCTGTAGGTTCTTCTTCAGCCCGGAGTGGTGCAGGCTTAGCCAGTGTTATAAAGCCCTGGCACAGAAAATGTAGCTTTGGGCAAAAAACCCAGGTGAACTGAGGGATGTCTCGCTGTTTGATGTCAGCAAGGTGAGGTGCTCCCTGTGGGAACAAGTGACCTGTCCTCTCCCTCCCTCAGGTCAAAATAATTACCTTGCCTATTCAGTTTTATTGGGCATTTTTAACTTGGAGGGAGTTCATTTTAGTTTTACTGCCTGAGTGCTGGAGCTGAACTGTGTCCATAAAACCAGCAGTTCACTCTGTTTCCCATAATTCTGTTTTTTTCAACTGGCTTTCCCCTGGAACTTCACTTATCATACACTTGCTATCACCTGCACTGGAAGTTGTTCTTGGAACTTTACAGATTGGGTTGGTTTGAACTATGTGATTGTTCAGCCTTCCTGTCTCCCAAGGGATTTATTATCTTCAAGAGCAGTTGAACTGCCAGGAACCCTGATCATACTTAAAAGATGGCAGAAGCCTCAATCACAGCCATTTTCCCACATATGTCAGAGCATTCCAGTGTGCAGAGTTCCAGAAACAAGTCCAGAAACGGGCAGAGCTTAGGACTTCCACTCAGCAAATTTAAGGCTGTCCCATGGAGATTTGCAAACCTTCATTTTTCTCGTCTACAAAAAGAAGATTTGTGTTTATCGTGACTGTCCTTTAAACAACAGTTGTCTGAGCAAGATTAGTGCATTGGTTATAAAATGTTTGTTTCATGGCACTACATGAAGGAAAGGGGTCACTCAAACACTTATTTTTTTTGTTGCCATATTAGAATGAGATGCCATTTGAAGACATCATTAATTTATTAAGTCAGAGCAGTCAGATCAAGATAATTCATGTTGTTCTGCACAGTAAATAATGGTCATTTTTGCTGCTACCCAACAACAGCACATCCTCTGAAAATACTGTGGTTCTTAAATTTCCTTTAAGAAAATCGTGAGAAGAATTATTTTTATTTTGTTGGAAAGGCTCTTTGAACACCATAAAAAGATCATCATAAAAAGATAACTTGTGGCTTGTTTTTGCAGTACTATTTCCTTTCAGATGCCAGTCAGTAGATTTGCTCATGGACTATAAATAAGATTCCAGTCCTGTCTGCTCATTGCCTGCTGCTTGGCTTTGCTCTGGCAGACTTGGCTCAAACCAGCGTGGCAGCGTCATCAGAACTGTCACAGGAAACAGGATCTTTCTGGTTCTGCCCTTAGTGAAAAAAATCCATTGCTTTTGGATGGTCAGTGAGGAGCAGCTGCCTCCACCTAGAAACGTCCCCTCGTCTGGGTGAGCTCCTCTGGGTGTGGAGCGTGTCAGCAGCGTGACTGATGCGCGGAGTCTCCCTGGGACGGTGCCTGTCAATTCATTGTCATGCTGCCTCCCGCCAAGTGGTCATGAGGACACTGCCATGAGCTCAGGGGAGAGCTTTGTGCTGCTCTTCTGAGCCACAAGCGAGGCATTGTTGTGAGGCAGAGCAGTTGGTGGGAGAAGAAGGCAGCTTGCAGACAAGAGGGTGAATGATACTCTAATGATGGCAACACTGAAGGATTAAGAATTCTCTTCAGTTCTCTGCTTGTGAGGGTTTCAGGGCTGAGGGAGGTGATGCACCTGCACAAAGGTCTTCACGTGGTGCCTTGCTGGGTGTGGTTGCATTTATCTTGTGTGGCATTGCTTTTTGCACCCCGGGAGCCCCAGACTGACTCAGCCTGGCTTGGCTGTGGTGCTGTTCTGAAGAATGATTATTAAACAATAAACACAGCACTGATACCACGTCTGCGACTTCATTACTGTCATATTTAATTTATTGAGAAGTCTTTTCACCTGGGATCTCTGAGTCAGCCTGGATGGACCCTCTGTTTGGCTGGAGGGAAAAGGCAGTTGGGTGCACTCTGTCAACCCCAGGCTGCCTGAGCAAGGAATCACGAATGAACTCACCCTCAATTCCAGGGAACTTTTATGTGCAAGACTTAATCTGGCTCTAAATACTCTTGGCTTTAGTAAGCTCCTCTGCAAACCACTCGTGCTTCTTTATCATCTATTTATAATCAACGCTTAAGCTCTCATTTCCTTACAAGGGGGCAGTTGTGTTTTCGTCAGTGTTTCCAGAATCTGCACGGATTGTCAGATTGGGGAAATTCAGCGTTTCCAAAAGCAACATCTCACTGCCGTGCTGGCCTGTGGATCTTATCTCTTTCAGGTGTTGTAAAGTGTTTTCTTAGTGGGTGGCATTGCTGTTGCCGTGTGAATGACGGCAATGTTTTGTGTTTCGTTTGTGTCAGGCCTCGTCTCTCCATGTGAGAAAATTCCCAGGGGTGTTTAACGGGCGCGTGCGGACAAACCTCCTGCACGCCCCATAAACCCCTTTACTGTGGGCCACTATAAAGCAACCATTACAGGCTGATGTTTAAACTTCTGAGATTGGCACAGCCCCTCGATTGCACTTACTTATTTTTATAATGTGTAATTTAGCGACTGAACCGTGAAAAGTTATGGCATAGCAAGGTCTCCTTAAAAACAGTGGCTCCAACTGTGCTTTCAGTTTGGGCTTCGTTGTAAATCCGGAGCAATTCCGTTCCATCAGTTGAAAGGAAGAGGGGAAAATTGCGTCGTTCCTGGGAGCTGCTCAGATGGTCTGGTGGATGGAGGTCTGAAATGTACTGTCAGGTGTGTTGGCACGGCACATTCTGCACTCCTGTGAGGAGCTTGTGCCCGGTTTCTCAGGAAACAGGGCAGTACTGTTCCCTGCACGCAGAACATTGGGCATTTTCCATTTTGCTCAGGTAATTTTGAGTGGATGAAGAAAGTTTGAAAACTGGATGCTTTTTCTGTGGCCACCGCACATCTAGATAGCCATGAGATCGTTCCCTGCTACTTCCCCCCTCCACTGAACTATCCCACGAGGCTATTTCGGAACACTTGTCTTCCTCAGAGCTCTTCCATGTAAATGCACTGAATTGACCAGCAAAGTTTTGACCGTGACTGTCTTTGTTTTGCAAAGTTCTCTTGTAAACAGGGCACCACCACGGGGCTTCTCCAGCAGCCCCCTCAGTGCAAATGAATGGGAGCAACAAAGGCTTAGGAAATGAAATGTCCATTCCTTTTCCTATTCACGTAAATGATGGTTTATCATACTGTTTATTAGCCTCATGTAGCCAGGATCTGTGATGCTTCTTAAGCCTTTTATTGCTTTTTTTTCCCTTTAATGAGCTGCAATAAAACATTGCCTTACCTGAGTGCTGACTCAGTGCCGAGGCATTCTCCAAGCTTAAGCATTTTAATTGATATTAATTCATCATTACCTGTGGCAAAGGATGGCACCACAGCTCAAAGCAGCCATGATTTATCTTTACCAGGTGCTCTTTCTCACTGCAAAATGTTCCTTTTTGAGACTGCACGGGACTCCTGCAATGAACAATTTTAAGTAACCCATAAACATGGTTTTATTGATGATGACCAGTTTTTTTATAGTAATTCTCCTCAGCAGGTGAGGCAATGCAGTACAAAGGAACTGGTGCCAGTGTGAAGGTCAGGGACCAAAAAGGGAAAAGACTCTCCCTGAGTCATCCTCTGGAGCAGCAGCAGGATCTAAAATCACAGAATCATTTAGGTTGGAAAATATGGGCAAATATTTTTTCGGGATACAGATGAGTCTGCCTGGGAGGATCTGTGGTTCTCTGCTCCAGCAGCATCTCCAGCTGTTTTGTTTTCTGCTCTGTGTTGTTGTCTGCAGCCACCAAAGGTGATGACCCAAGGGGAAACCACACAGTGTGTTCACTCACACCCTGCTCAGAGCTGTGAAGGGAGGAGGACAGGTAGAGAAAAGGCCAAGTGAGGACAGGTGGGATCCTCTGCTCTGCCTGCATCTCCCTCTGTTCCAACAACACTGAAATGAAATGCTCCCTATTCCAAAACCTTGACACCCACCTTGCAAATATTCTTACTGAGCTCTTCTCAGCTCACTGACAATTGTGTGTGTGCAGGCAGGACTGGCCTGGGCAGAGAGAGCACAGACTGACAGACAATTAACATTTCTAGCTATTTTTTTCCACCCTTAACTGTTTGGGTTTTTTGTGGGTACAAACAGTTTTTATGACCTTCATCGGCTGACACGAGGGAAAAGTGTAAGGGAAAGTGTATTTTTAAATTGAAATGAATGATTTTTGGTGTGCTTTTCTAGATTTGCTGCAGAAATGATGTTTGGCCACGTCCTTGGGCAATATAATCTGGTGTAATTCTACTGAGGTGAATGCTGACAGACTATCTCAATTTGGGTATGCCCTGAGGTTGTAACACCCTGACAGTATAAACTGGCAGCTTTTGGTTTTCACTCCCTTGTACTGACAAGAAATTGGATCTTTATTTACCTATCCATCCAGTTCCAATGAAAATCAATAGTTTCATTGTCACCTAATGTTAATTTACACTTCTGCTGCAGGTTTTCTTCCTTGTGTTCGGGCCAGCGAGTTTTCCAGATATACTTTGTGTCTTTACACGTGTAACA